ACTTACCTGTCTCCCCCAAATCACTTTCTCTCTCTTCTCCTGCTGCTATCCAACTTCTTTATATTCCTCTTTCATGTTTAAGATCTTATAACTCTATACCTCACCTCCTACCCCCCTCAACATCTCATTCTACACCTCTCCCCTGGTTCTTTGTCCACCAACAGAAACTGTAGACAATTTTGCAAATCTACTGTTTATATTATAGATACTAATTGAACTTACCATTTCTGTATATTAAGACAAAACCTTAAACATTTTAATAGCGGCTATTTGGTTTAAGGTGTATATTGTTTGGCTTAGGTTATGTATTTGTTTTGGGATTCATTCACATTGTTCTCTCCCTTAAAGGAGAGGCATAGGAAACCTGCAGGAACACTACATGCTGATAGGGTAAAATCTGTGATGCCTTGGATCCACAGTGCCAGAAGGGAAGACACATGAACAACATGAAAAAATAAGAAAAGAAAGTGCCCCCAACAAACTAACATATTACATTATTAGAATCCATGGCCAGCACAACAGAAGAAATTACAGAGAAAGAGTTCAGGATGTACATAATTAAAATGTTCTGTGAATTAAATAATGATATAAGAGAGGAAATAAAGTCCATAAAAGATCATTTCTTTAAAGAGCTACATAAGAAGATACAGGAAGCAAAATATTACTTCAATAAGGAGATAGAGGTTCTGAAAAAAAAAACTCACACAGAAATCCTTGAAATGAAATAAACAATAAACCAAATTAAAAGTTCAATAGAAAGCACCGCCAACAGATTAGATCACTTGGAAGACAGGACCTCAGAAAATGAAGACAAAATATATAATGTTGAAAAGAATATTCACCACATAGTGAAGATGGTAATAAACCATGAGCAGAACACTCAAAAGTTATGGGACAACATAAAAAGAACAAATTTAAGAATTATTGAGAAAGAGGAGGCATAGAGTTACAAACAAAAGTAATGAACAATCTATTCAATGAAACAATATCAGAAAAATTTTCAAACATGAAGAATGAAAATTAAATACAAGGGGCTTACGGGATGCTAAATGTGCAAAATCACAATGGGTCCACACTAAGACACATTATAATGAAAATGCCTGGCATACAGAATAAATAGAGAATTTTAAAAGACACAAGAGAAAGAAATCATATTATGTATAAGGGGAAGCCAATTAGGATATCTGCATATTTTTTAACCCAGACTCTGAAATCTAGAAGCTTCTGGAACAATATATAACAAGCTCTGAAAGAAAATGGATGCCAACCAAGAATCTTATATCCAGCAAAATTAAGCTTCAGATTTGATGACAAAATAATAACCTTCCAAGGTAAACAAAAATTAAAAGAATTTACAATTAGAAAGCCTGCACTATAGAATATTTTTGGAAAAATATTCCATGAGGAGGAAACAAAAAACAACAATGAAAATCAGCAAAGGGAGGTATTACACTAATGGAAGTACTAATCAAAGTAGAAACCAAGTCAAGTTATATTCCCAAAATAAACAAAAATGGCTGGGGATACAAAACATGTCTCAATAATAACCCTGAGTGTCAGTGGCCTAACTCACTAATCAAAAGACAAAGACTTGCAGATTGGATTTAAAAAATAGCCATAAATCAAAGGCATTTCTGTACAATAGTGACAAATCCACTGAAAGAGAAACTAGGAAAACTACCCCACATACAATAGCCTTAAAAACAAATTGGGAATCAATGAAAGAGGTGAAAGACCTCTACAATCAAAACTAGAGAATGCTAAAGAAAGAAATTAAAGAAGACCTTATAAGATGGAAAAATATCCCTTGTTCTTGGTTAGGCAGAATTAATATTGTCAAAATTACCATACTACCAAAAGCAGTGTAGAGTTTGAATGCAATTCCAATAAAAATTCCAATGATATTCCTTAAAGAAAAAGAAAAGGCAGTTGTTTAATACATCTTGAAAAATAAGAGACCCATAATAGCCAAAGCAATACTTAGCAAGAAGAGTGAAGCAGGTGGCATTACTATACCAGACCTTAAACTATACTACAGAGCAATTGTAATAAAAGCAATATGGTATTGGCACCAAAAAAGACTTGTTGATCAATGGTACACAATAGAGGATACAGAGACAAACCCACACTAATACAGTTATCTCATATTAGACAAAGGTACCAAAAACATACATTAGAAAAAAAGATATCCCCTTCAACAAATGGTGCTGGGAAAAAACGGAAATCCACATGCAACAAAATAAAATTAAGCTTCTATCTCTCACCATGCATAAAGCTAAACTCAAACTGGATCAAGGACCTAGGAATTAAACAGAGACCCTGCAGCCTAATAGAAGGAAAAGTAGGCCCAAATTTTCATAATGTCAGATTAGGCCCTGACTTGCTTAATAAGACTCCTATAGCACTATAAATAAAATCAAGAATCAATAAATGGGATGAAGTGAAACTGCAAAGCTTCTTCTCAGCAAAAGGAACCATCAGTGAGGAGATGAGAGAGCCTACAGAATGGAAGCAAATTGTAACCACACACACATTAGATAGAAGCCTGATGTCTAGGATATATAAAAAACTCACATATCTTTAACAACAAAAAAACAAATAACCCAATTAATATATGAGCCAAGGAACTGAATAGACCCTTCTCAGAAAAGGATATACAATCAATCAACAAATATATTAAAAATTGTTCAACATCTCTAGCAAGTAGAGAAATGCAAATCAAAACTACTCTAAGATTTCATCTCACTCCAGTCAGAATGGCAGCTATTAAGAATACAAACAACAATAAGTATTGGTGAGTATGTGGGGAAAAAGATACACTCATACATTGCTGGTGGGACTGCAAATTGGTGCAACCAATATGGAAAGCAATATGGAGATTCCTTGGAAAACATGGAATGGAACCACCATGTGACCCAGCTATCGCACTCCTTGGGTATAAACCAAGGACTTAAAAAAAGCATACTATATTAATGCAGCCATATCAATGTTTATATAGCCGCACAATTCACATTAGCCAAAGGGTGGAGCCAACCTAGATACCCTTCAGTAGAATACTGGATAAAGAAACTGTGGTATATATACACAATGGAATATTACTCAGCATTAAAAGAGAAAAAAATCATGGCATTTGCAGGTAAATGGATGGAGTTGGAGAATGTTATGCTAAGTGAAGTAAGCCAAAACAACAACAACAACAACAAAAAAAAAAACAAATGCCAGCTGTTTTTTCTGATATAAGGATGCTGATCCATAATGGGGATGGGGAGAAGCATGGGAGGAATGGAAGAACTTTAGATAGGGCAAAGGGGTGGGAGGGAAAGGGAGGGCGCAAGGGTGTAGAAAAGATGGTGGAATGAAATGGATATCATTACCCGAAGTACATGTAAGAAGACAGGAATGGTGTGACTCTACGATGTGTACAAACACAGACATGAAAAATGTGCTCTATATGTGCAATATGAATTGAAATGCATCCTGTTCCATATGTGTACTATGAATTGGAATGAATCCTGTTAGCATAGATAACAAATTAGAATGAATAAATAAATAAAAGAAAAAAGTAATTTAAAAATCAAAAGTTATATATGTGAGAAATTACATGTTAATTTTGACAATACTTGTATATATGAGTACTAAATGTATATATGAGTACTAAATATTATGTAACTAGGGTCTTCACAGCAATTTTCCTTACTAAATATATTGTGAATAACAATGCTCTCCAATTTAAAACAAATGCAACATATTTATTTGTACAGCATTACCATTAGTGATCTGGTAATTTACATCTATCCAATGACATGCAATTCAATTCACAACTTCCAAATACAGTAGTCTCATATACCAGCTTGCATATTGTTTCTTGGGTGCTGGGAGTCTGTTCAGTATACTGTCTGCCTCCTATCTACCTCTAAAACACCTGCCTCCTTTTCTGTCTCCAGTATTATTGTTTATGGTCTGATATTTTTCATTCCATAACATCTAAACACATTCTAATCAGCAAGAAAAGCAGTCACATCTGGAAGAGGTGAGAGATTGGCAGAGCCATGGTTTCTCAAGCCTCTCCCTTCATAGTTTTGAGATTGTCTCTTCCTCAGTTTTGCCGAGTAGGTTTTACATCTGTACTGATGGAGCGGGAGAAGCTCTTCTGTGCCTCTTTCTTTTATGGAATCTATGACCCAGTTATCCTTGGAGTGAAATAATGGGTATTGATTTGATGGGAAGCTTGTTGGTCTAGGAACAGAGTCAGTGTGGTGTTTGCTTTACTCTTCTAAGGTGGCTTTGGATGCAACTCTGATGTAAGCCATAGCTCACCATTATGGGCATTGGAGCTCATTCAAATTCCAGTTCGGACCTCTGTGAATGAAGGTCTCCCCATTTGCCAAATAAAAAAATAAGAATTTCTGTCCTCTGCTCCTCAAGATTGGGAGGGGATTGAGATGCTAAATAGCAAACGTTATATACTTTTATTTAGTTATGTCATGATGTATGTTTGGTATTTCAAAATGTTTAAATTTTACTACCCAGTTTATACTTAGTCACTTGCGATTTTAGGTCAACATTTTAAAATATTTAAGAGGCTTGATTTTCAAAGACAAACTATCTTGTTGTTTGATGAAATATCACAAGTTCAATAATTTTATATAAAATTTAGAGATACACTGATTTCCCCCAAGTCATGAATTTCCAACAAGTCATTAGTCTGAGAATCCAGCATGTTTTGGATAAAATCCTAGCTGCATGTCGTTACCACCAGAGGTTGCGTGCTTGTGTGTTTGTTTGTTTTAAAATGCCTATTCCTGGAAACTCAGAGTGGCTGAATTAGATTTTCATGGTTAGAGGTTTGGAAACAGCACGAGTAAATAATAGTTTGTTTTAATCCTTATCAAGTGACCTATGTACACTCAGAATGATTGCAACTTTTCTAGTTGATTGGCTCAGCAGTTTATCAGTAGGACACATTCTGATTAACAGGGACCACTATAAAAGTTTTACATTGATTGCAAGTTCACTGTTGTTTCAGTAAAAGAAGAAGGTTTCAATGGATCCAGTTGTGGCCTTGGTTATCAGTCTCTCCTGTATTCTTCTCCTCTCACTATGGAGACAGAGATCTTGGAGAGGGAGACTCCCACCAGGACCCATGCCTCTCCCAATTCTTGGGAATATCCTGCAGATAGATGTTAAAAACATCAGCAAATCCTTAACCAATGTAAGTATGTTGATGTTTATCCAGTGGGTTGTGAATTGTAAGTAAATGAATCCTCCATTTTCAATTAAATATATTCACTGGCAAATTATTAAAAGAGCTTATTGCACCACAAATACTCTCTGTGGATTTTGATGTTTCCATTGCTTTTTATAGTTTTTCATTGTTAGAGGTAATGTAAAGAATGCCCCTGGGATAAAAAAAAATCACATTTAATATTTTGATGGAAATATTAAAATGGGGAAATTGTAGTACCCCTTCCCTTCATTGTTTGACAGTCAATTGCTATGATTTTCTATTTTCTGCACAATCTAATTTGTTCATGATGATTTTGAGTGAATTTTTATTTCCTTATCTTTACAGTTCTGACTAGTTTCTTTTTAATATCTCTATTTCTTTATTTAAATTCTCTTTCAACCCTGAGTTTTCTCTAATGCATTCCTCAGGGCTTCCTTTAATTTATTGAACATCTTAATCATCATTTATCTATTATTTTTCTCTGGAATTTCACCCACTTTTATATCGGTGGGATTCCTTGCTGAGGGATTGTGTTTTAAAGGGGAAGATTTTTTTTGTCTATTTCATTAAGTTTTCAGAGGTATTGGACTTTTTCTTCAATTGAGATGGATTCTTCTTTCTATTTTATATCTATGTCCTTTTGTGTATAGTTATGTTTTTGTTGTTGTTGTTGTTTTGGGACTTCTCTCTGTTTTTGATACATGAGTAGGTTCAGGGGTGTGACCTGAGGTCTCCCTCTGGTTGATCCTCTGTGAGGCCTAGTTATTGATTTGGGTTTTTTTTCTCCTCATTTCTATTTATTGAAGTAATGTTGAGGCTAAGGTTTGATTAGAACGTGTGTGTGGGGTCGGGCTCCAAATTCCTCAATAGGACACCCATAGCACAAAAGTTAATAACTAGAATCAACAAATGGGACTTACTCAAACTAAAAAGTTTTTTCTCAGCAAAAGAAACAATAAGAGAGGTAAATAGAGAGCCTACATCCTGGGAACAAATCTTTACTCCTCACACTTCAGATAGAGCCCTAATATCCAGAGTATACAAAGAACTCAAAAAATTAGACAATAAGAGAACAAACAACCCAATCAACAAATGGGCCAAGGACCTGAACAGACACTTCTCAGAGGAGGACATACAATCAATCAACAAGTACATGAAAAAATGCTCACCATCTCTAGCTGTCAGAGAAATGCAAATCAAAACCACCCTAAGATACCATCTCACTCCAGTAAGATTGGCAGCCATTAGGAAGTCAAACAACAACAAGTGCTGGCGAGGATGTGGGGAAAAGGGTACACTTGTACATTGCTGGTGGGACTGCAAATTGGTGCAGCCAATTTGGAAAGCAGTATGGAGATTTCTTGGAAAGCTGGGAATGGAGCCACCATTTGACCCAGCTATTCCCCTTCTCGGTCTATTCCCTAAAGACCTAAAAAGAGCATGCTACAGGGACACTGCTACATCGATGTTCATAGCAGCACAATTCACAATAGCAAGACTGTGGAACCAAACTAGATGCCCTTCAATAGACGAATGGATAAAAAAAATGTGGCATTTATACACAATGGAGAATTACTCTGCATTAAAAAATGACAAAATCATAGAATTTACAGGGAAATGGATGGCATTAGAGCAGATTATGCTAAGTGAAGCTAGCCAATCCCTAAAAAAACAAATGCCAAATGTCTTCTTTGATATAAGGAGAGTAACTAAGAACAGAGTAGGGTTGAAGAGCATGAGAAGAAGATTAACATTAAACAGGGATGAGAGGTGGGAGGGAAAGGGAGAGAGAAGGGAAATTGCATGGAAATGGAAGGAGACCCTCAGAGTTATCCAAAGTACATACAAGAGGAAGTGAGGGGAAAGGGAAAAATAATACAAGGGGGACAAATGAATGTCAGTAGAGGGGGCAGAGAGAGAAGAGGGGAGGGGAGGGGGGATAGTAGAGGATAAGAAAGGCAGCAGAACACAACAGACACTAGTATGGTAATATGTAAATCGATGGATGTGTAACTGATGTGATTCTGCAATCTGTATATGGGGTAAAAATGGGAGCTCATAACCCACTTGAATCAAAGTGTGAAATATGATATATCAAGAACTATGTAATGTTTTGAACAGCCAACAATAAAAAATTAAAAAAAAAAAAGAACATGTGTGGGGTGAAATTCGTTGTTACTGGGCTGAGTTGCATTTATTGTTTGGGATCAAGATGTCTACTAGGTGAACCTGAAGTGACCCACTCACTTTGCAAATCTCTTTAGAGGAAGCACTGAGCAAGAAATAGCACTATTGTTATCGACAGATGTACAGCCTTAGGGCAAATGTTCAGTATCTATTTTGACATTTGTAACACTTATTGCCACCTCTAGTTCTTTAAAAAAGTGACCTGATGCATGACTTGTAGGTATTTTTTTAGTTATCAAAGTTAAGTTTCTCTGAAGAAAGCTACCTCATGTTAAGAAATACCTATGAGATGGACTGTCAGTAAGATGGTGAAGTACAATATTCTTAATTTCCTTTTGCTCAAGAAAAACAATAAGAGAAATAACTAGAAATGAAAAACGTTCCAGGAGACTTAGGAGTCCATCACAGCAATACCATGGTGTAAAAGCTCAAAAATAACTTCTCCAATACTAGGAAGAACACTGCCATTTTATCAACAGTTTTCCATGTTCCAGCATGTTAAAAAGGATCTATCCACTGTGATCAAGGAGGATTCATCCCTGACATCCAAGGATGATTCAACATGCATAAATTAATAAATGTGATACATAATTTTAACAGAATGAAGGGCAAACATCACAGGCCTATTTCAATAGGTGCAAAAAAGCCTTTTACATATTCCATATTCTTTGATGATGATACTTTAAAAAACACATGGTACAGAAGGAATTTTTTACAGAACACTAATGGCCATGTGTGACTAGCCAATATCTAAAATCATGCTCCATAGCGAAAGTTGAAATGTATTCCTCCAAAATTAGGGAAAAGACAGGAATGCCCACATTTGTTCAGCAGAGAACTGAAAAAATAAGCAAGAAAGAGAAAAAATAAGCAAGAAATCACAAAGAAAGAAGCAAATTAGTCTCTGTTGTGGAAAACTCCAAACTTTATCTGAATACAATTAGAACAATAAATGAATTCTAAATAAGCAGGATACACAAATAACATATAAAATTCAGCAGCATTTTTAACAACAAAATGATAAAGATTCAAAGAAGTATTTCATTTACAACACCATGAGAAAGAATAAAATATTTAGTAATAAATTTAAACAAGGTGAAAAATAAAAATATATAAAATATTAATGAAAGAATTTGTAGAAGACAGAATTACATGAAAAAAATAATCCTTGTTCACATATTGGATGAATTATTATTGTAATTACTTGCGGTGATATACAGATTCAATGCAATCCCTATGAAAAATCCAATAGTATATTTCACAAAAATTTACCAAGTCTTAAAATTTGCATAGAACCTCACAAGATTCTGAATAACAAATGGTATCTTATGTAAGAAATCTGTGCTTCAATATATGTACATAGTTACAGTAAACAAAACATGGCAGTGTAGGCATAAAGAAGATACATACACCCATGGATTCCATGAAGAATCTAGGAAATACACCTATTAATTATACACAAAAGGGCCAGGGGGAAAGATAGTCTCTTTGCTGAATGACATTTGGAAAACTACATACACATGCAAAAAACAAACTAGACTCATTTCTAACATACCCACAAAAATCAATTCAAAATAGATTTAAGACAAATGGAAGACCTGAAACTATAAAATCACTAGAAGAAAACATGGAGAAGATGTTCCATAATCTTGATCTAGCAATGCTTTGTTTACAATCCCTTTTTAATTTACACATAAGAATCATGCATATTTATGAGCCACCATTTCATGTTTTTATATCTGTGTATCTTGTGTAATGTTCAAATTAACATAAAAATACCTATTGCCTGAAATATTTATCATTTATTAGTGATAAAAATACTTGAAGTTCTTTCTTCTAGCTGTTTCAAAATGAGCAGTACATTATCTATCATCACCCTACTGCACAACAAAATCCCAGGACTTATTTTTCCAATCTAAATCTGAGTACCCATGCATCAAATTTGCCTCATCCCTCCCTCTTAGGTCTAAACCCCACAGTATCTGGCATTCTTGTTTTTTTTTTTTCTTTTTTTAAAGTGTTATTTTAATATGGTTTTATTTTACCTTATTTTATTTTTTTTATTTTACACCAAAAGCACATGCAAAAATATAAATACAAAAGTGAAACTGAATCTTTCTGAAAACATTTCTGCATACCAAATGAAGCAATCTACAAAAAGAAAAGACCCTATAGAAGGGAGAATATAGCATCCAAATGTATAAGAAACTAAAAAATAAAAATCAAAACAAAATTAAACTAAAAGAAACTTCACAAATAACCTTAATAAAAATGGGCAAGATGGAAAACAAGTTAAACTGGAGGCCACATGCTAAATGAAACAGGCCAGATCCAGAGAGTAAAGGATCAAATGTTTTCTCTGATATGCAAAAGCTAAACAAAAATAATGGGCAAAAATTAAAAGGGTAGATTCCACAAAAATAGAAATTAGTGGAATAGAAAAAGGAATTGAAGGGAGAGAGAAAGGATGGCAAAAATGAAGAACTGTGCAATGAATTTGACAAAATTCACATATGAATATACTATACATATAAATATACTACAATGAATCTACTTTTGTGTGTATTCACAAGGCTCTAATTTGAAAAAAGCACTAAAAATGATAGAAGAAATATTAGTAGAGTAGAGGAAAGGTTTAAGGGTTAGGGACAAGGGAGGAAAAAGAGAAACAATATTATATTCCATGCTTGCAGAATTATATCAAAATGAGCACTAATACTTAAATTTTAAAAAGGGGCCACAGTAATGTTTATAACTAAAATCTACTAATAGAAAATGGATAAAGAATATAAATATATATTTTTCCAAAAAGCATTCAAATTGCCAATAGGATATGAAAAGATGTTCACATCACTTGTCATCAGGAAAATGCAATTCAAAACCACAATGTTATGGTTTAGAAGTGAAGCATTCCCTACAAGCTCACTTATGAGACCATGCAAGGTTTGGTTTAATTTTATTTTGCTACATAAGGATTTCCAGTTTTTCCAGCACCATTTGTTGAAGAAGCTATCTTTTCTCCAATGTGTGTTTTCGTCCCTTTGTCTAGTATGAGATAACTGTATTTATGTGGGTTTGTCTCTGTGTCTTCTATTGTGCACCCTTGGTCTACATGTCTGTTTTGGCTCCAATAACATGCTGTTTTTGTTACTATGGCTCTGTAGTATAGTTTAATGTCTGGTATTGTGATGTGTTCTGCTTCACCCTTCTTGCTAAAGATTGCGTTGGCTATTCTGAGTCTCTTATTTTTCCAAATGAATTTCATGATTGATTTTTTTACTTCTATGTGGTACACTGGGATTTTAATTGGTACTGCATTAATCTGTATAGCACTTTTGGTAGTAAAGCAATTTGGTAATATTAATTCTGCCTATTCAAGAGCATGGGAGATCTTTCTGTTTTCTAAGGTCTTCTTTGATTTCTTTCTTTAGTGTTCTGTATTTTTCCTTGTAGAGATCTTTCACCTCTTTTCTTAAATGGATTCCCAGTATTTTCTTATTTTTTGAGGCTAGTGTGAATGGGATGGTTTTTCTAATTTCTCTTTCAGAGGCTTTATCAGTGATATATAGAAATGCATTATACTTATGGGTATTGATTTTATATCCTGCTACTTTGCCAAATTCATTTATTAAATCTAGAACTTTTCTGGTGGATTTTTTTTTTTGGATCCTGTAAGTATAGAATCATGTCATTGGCAAATAGTGATAACTTGAGTTCTTCTTTTCCTATTTGAATCCCTTTAATTTCTTTTGTCTAATTGCTCTAGCTAAAGTTTCAAGGATTAAAAACAATATGAATAGATATTTTTCCAAAAATCATGCAAATTTTCAAGAGGATTTGAAAATATGCCCACATCACTTATCACCAGGAAAATGCAATTCAAAACCACAATGTTATGGTTTGGATGTGAAACATCCCTCACAAGCTTATGTGTGAGACAATGTAAGAAGGTTTGGAAAAGAAATAATTGGGTTATAGCCTTAAACTAATCAGTTAATTACTCCCTGATGAGAATAACTGAGTGGTAGCTGAAGGCTGGTGGGGTGTGGCTGGAGGAAGTGGTACATTGGGAGTATGAATGTAGGGTATATATTTGTATTTGGCAAGAGGAGATTCTCTCTCTCTCTCTCTCTCTCTCTCTCTCTCTCTCTCTCTCTCTCTCTCTCTCTCTCTCTCTCTCTCTCTCCGTCCTGATTACCATGTGAGCTGTTTCCCTCAGTGACACACTTCCACCATGATGCTCTGCTTCACCTTAGGCCCTAAGGAATGTGTGGGCCTTTTATGAACTAAGACCTCTGAAATTGTGAGCTCTCAAATAAAATATCTCCTCTATAGTTTTTCTGGTTGGGTCCTTTTAGTCCTATCAGTGAACAAGGTGAATAAAATATATTAGGAGATATCACCTCACACCTCAGCATTTGATCTACATGTTCAGAATTATTCAGACTGTTATTCAGTTTATTCTCATTATATTTATTGTGTCAAATGAATCTTCAAATATCGATCAAGTAAGCAAGGGTTAGCAAAGATGTAAAGAGGAAAATCTTGTGCAGCAGTGGTGGGAATATAAATTGATACAGCCATTACGGAAATGATTGTGTTTTCAGTTTCCTCAAAATATTGATAAATAGAGCTACCATTTGATCCAATAGCCCACTTCTTAATATATATGAAAAGAGATGAAATCAGTATTTTCAAAAGGCATTCACACTCCATAGTTATTACAGCATTATCTGCAATAGTTAAGAAATGACACCAACCTAAGCATCCACTAGTGGCTGAATGCATGAATCAAATGTATTTTTATATAAAATAGAATCTTATTAAGTCTTATAAAAGGATCACCTGTTAATTATCCCAACATGAAATGAGCCTAGAGGCCTTTATGATGAGGGAAGGAGCCACACAGAAAGTCCTTCACTATATGATCTCACTTATATGTGGAATCTTACAAAACAAAGCAAAAAGCCTCAAACTCATAGTGATAGAGACTAGGATGGTGGTTAATTGGGGGCTGGGAGGTGAGAGAAAATATGAGATGTTGGTCCAAGGGTGCAACATTCAGTTACAAGGTGAATAAGCATTGGAGACCTAAGACACAGCATACTGACTGCAGTAAATAATAATGCATGTTACACCTGAAACTAACTGACATGTTTTCACCCCATACACATGAAAATGCTAACACTGAGGTGATATATATATATATATATATATATATATATATATATATATATATATATATTAGATATAATCAATTTGCAATGTCTACATAAATCTAAATATAATTTTACACTCTAAATGTATACACTTTTTAATTTTCAATGTAACCTCAATAAAGCCATTAATGGAAAAAAAAAACCCTGTGGGCTGAGAACTAGCATAAGACAGTGAAGGAAAGAAAGAATTAATCAGGGTCCACTGGGTGTTAACAGAATCCTTGTGGGTTTTGCACAAAGCTTAAGTCTGTACCCCATGAATAGCTGCCAGGTGAGAGAAATTGTTCTTCCATGAGATGCTGCATGGCCTGGTGCTGCCTCCCTGGTATTCACTCTCTTGCTGTGTTAGTGATAGCTGTGGTTTCAACCTATGAGTCTTAAGATCATCTGGGGTCACTTTTAAAAATATAGACTTCCAGTTCTCATCATGAGTTTACTCAATCAAAATCTCAATGCCACAAGCCCTGCTAATCAGCTGGGTGTTAGTGCAAAGATGGATAAGCACTGGGGACTGATAAATTGTTATACTCCAGAAGTTGAAAAATAAATGTTCAGATTTGGTTCTTCTGTTTATTAGACATGGCACACCACAAATAAATTTATAACTCTTTTACTGCATTTCCTTTGCATGTAAAACAGAACAAATAAGTCCTCTAGATGCATTGATGTGAGGATTCACTATGGTGGCACATCGTAGAGCATCAATAAGTGACAGCTATGATTTCCATCACATTTGGGAACACAATTCAAAAATATTTGAAGATTCATCTGACACAATAAAATATAACAGATATAATGAGAATAAACCAAATAACAGTCTGAATCATTCTGAACATGAAGATCAAATGCTGATCTTCTTCAGCTAATATCTGCACTTTGTTTCTCTTTTCCAGTTGTCAAAAGCCTATGGCCCTGTGTTCACTGTATATTTGGGTTTGAGACCCACTGTGGTGTTGCATGGATATGAAGCTGTGAAGGAAGCCCTGATTGATCATGGGGAAGTATTTTCTGGAAGAGGCAGTTTCCCTGTGGTTGAGAGAGTTACTAAAGGACTTGGTAAGTGTGCATGCATGTGAGGTGGGTGAGCAATGGTCACGGGGAGGAGGAAAATATAAAAGAGAAAGCCAGGTTGAGCTTGACCATTTCTGTGGGTGCCATTTATCAACTTCCTCTACCTTGCCTGGGATATCCTCCTAGATTCTGCTCCCTTTCATTTAGGAATCCTTTTAACTACTGGAAACAGATGGAAAGTGATGAGGCGCTTCTCAGTCATGACTCTGAGGAATTTTGGGATGGGGAAGAGGAGCATTGAAGACCGAGTTCAAGAGGAAGCCCGTTGCCTTGTGGAGGAGTTGAGGAAAACCAAGTGTGAGTGATTCGTTATATCACAGTCTCTTTTGCTTTCTGACTTCACTCATGGTTTCTTCCAAGGCCAGTACCTAGTAATTATACTAATCTCTGGTTTTACATTTATTGGCATATCTCCTGAAAATAAGGAAAATAATAGGAAAATAAGGAAAATAATAATAAGACACAGAGACAAGATATAGAGGCAGGTAAAAATGGCTGTTTGTCCAAGCGACCACATTTATTTATACCAATAGGTTACATTAGGTCATTAGTACCACAACTACATTATTGTTTAGTGTATCAGTAAGGTTGCTTATACTGCAGTTACATTCTACAGTCATAATATGTAATGTCAGAAGATTTGTGAAACTCTCAAGAAAAATCCATTTTCTGAAGTTACTGTTAGGCAGGCCAATCCAGGAGCACCCTTAGCTTGGTGAAACATTGTAGTTTTCTAGCAAGCAGATTCCTTTATTCCCAGAAGTTATGTGCCAAAGATCAAGGTTGAGGCTGATAAGACTCTAGCACAGAGCCCTTTCAAGTAGGGCATTGCTATAGCAGCTAGACACTGCATATGTATACAGTTATTTTACTAGTTCCTAGGAGAAACTGTAGGGCATTCTAAGGGTGGGAAACAGAGTACCTGTTACCCTCTGGGTGTTTGCTCACCAGGGAAATGCTTCTCTGTACATTTCCACAGCCAGAATCCCTACAGAAAGTCTCAATAATTATGATTACACTAAATACTTACCTCTCCTGTCTTTTTTACTGACCCAAGTGTTTTTCACGGTGTCTCTGATTTTCAGCTTGGATTCAGATTGTTCTGTTTTTAAATTTGTCTTTCAAATTAACAAAAAAGAAAGAAAGAAAGAAAGAAAGAAAAAGAACAAGAAAGAAAGAAAGAAAGACCAAAAATCAGACTTTACCAGTGAATAACATACAAAAGAAATTCCCAGTTTTCCCTAATTACCCTCCAACTCTATAACTGAAAGAAACCTTTGTTCTGAAAGCTTTTGAACCCTGGAACATTTACAGAGCCTGATGGAGGAGTAGATAACCTGAAAGTTTTGCTCTTACCCAATGCTCTATGCTTTCTTTGCATTATTATTTTTATTTGTTTATTTAAAATTATTCTATTGTATTTATAATGAACATATAATCAGTCCATATTAATGAAAGCCACTATGGTATTCTGACATATGTATGAACATATACTGTTTAAATTCCATCCTCTCCATCACTCTGCCCTACTCACCACCAGCACACACTCTTTCCCATCTCCAGTAATCACTCTTTTACTTTCAGGGTCATATTTATTTTAGCTTTCACACATGAGAGAGACCATGAAATACTTGACTTTCTGTTTCTGACCTCTTACTTAACATAAAGTCCCCCAGTTCTCTCTTCTTTGCTGCAAATGACAAGATTTATTTCTTCTTTATGACTGAATACAAATACATTGTGTATGTAACAGAGCATATGTAGTCACTATTCTGTTGATAAGCACTTAATTTAATATGATATCTAAATAATTATGAATAGTGTTATAGTTTTCCTGAACATGCAGCAATGTATGTTGTGTCTTTTTTTTTAATTTTTTATTGTTGGTTGTTCAAAACATTACATAGTTCTTGATATATCATATTTCACACTTTGATTCAAGTGGGTTATGAGGTCCCATTTTTACCCCATATACAGATTACATAATCACATCAGTTACACATCCATTGATTTACATATTGCCATACTAGTGTCTGTTATGTTCTGCTGCCTTTCCTATCCTCTACTATCCCCCCTCCCCTCCCCTCTTCTCTCTCTTCCCCCTCTACTGACATTCATTTGTCCCCCTTGTATTATTTTTCCCTTTCCCCTCACTTCCTCTTGTATGTACTTTGGATAACTCTGAGGGTCTCCTTCCATTTCCATGCAATTTCCCTTCTCTCTCCCTTTCCCTCCCACCTCTCATCCCTGTTTAATGTTAATCTTCTTCTCATGCTCTTCAACCCTACTCTGTTCTTAGTTACTCTCCTTATATCAAAGAAGACATTTGGCATTTGTTTTTTAGGGATTGGCTAGCTTCACTTAGCATAATCTGCTCTAATGCCATCCATTTCCCTGTAAATTCTATGATTTTGTCATTTTTTAATGCAGAGTAATTCTCCATTGTGTATAAATGCCACATTTTTTTATCCATTCATCTATTGAAGGGCATCTAGTTTGGTTCCACAGTCTTGCTATTGTGAATTGTGCTGCTATGAACATCGATGTAGCAGTGTCCCTGTAGCATGCTCTTTTTAGGTCTTTAGGGAATAGACCGAGAAGGGGAATAGCTGGGTCAAATGGTGGCTCCATTCCCAGCTTTCCAAGAAATCTCCATACTGCTTTCCAAATTGGCTGCACCAATTTGCAGTCCCACCAGCAATGTACATGTGTACCCTTTTCCCCACATCCTCGCCAGCACTTGTTGTTGTTTGACTTCATAATGGCTGCCAATCTAACTGGAGTGAGATGGTATCTTAGGGTGGTTTTGATTTGCATTTCTCTGACAGCTAGAGATGGTGAGCATTTTTTCATGTACTTGTTGATTGATTGTATGTCCTCCTCTGAGAAGTGTCTGTTCAGGTCCTTGGCCCATTTGTTGATTGGGTTGTTTGTTCTCTTATTGTCTAATTTTTTGAGTTCTTTGTATACTCTGGATATTAGGGCTCTATCTGAAGTGTGAGGAGTAAAGATTTGTTCCCAGGATGTAGGCTCCCTATTTACCTCTCTTATTGTTTCTTTTGCTGAGAAAAAACTTTTTAGTTTGAGTAAGTCCCATTTGTTGATTCTAGTTATTAACTTTTGTGCTATGGGTGTCCTACTGAGGAATTTGGAGCCCGACCCCACAGTATGTAGATCCTAGCCAACTTTTTCTTCTATCAGATGGCGTGTCTCTGATTTGATATCAAGCTCCTTGATCCATTTTGAATTAACTTTTGTGCATGGCTACAGAAAGGGATTCAGTTTCATTTTGTTGCATATGGATTTCCAGTTTTCCCAGCACCATTTGTTGTAGATGCTATCCTTCCTCCATTGCATGCTTTTAGCCCCTTTATCAAATATAAGATAGTTGTAGTTTTGTGGATTGGTTTCTGTGTCCTCTATTCTGTACCATTGGTCCACCCGCCTGTTTTGGTACCAGTACCATGCTGTTTTTGTTACTATTGCTCTGTAGTATAGTTTGAAGTCTGGTATCGCTATACCGCCTGATTCACACTTCCTGCTTAGCATTGTTTTTGCTATTCTGGGTCTTTTATTTTTCCATATGAATTTCATGATTGCTTTCTCTATTTCTACAAGAAATGCCGTTGGGATTTTGATTGGCATTGCATTAAACCTATAGAGAACTTTTGGTAATATCGCCATTTTGATGATGTTAGTTCTGCCTATCCATGAACAGGGTATATTTTTCCATCTTCTAAGATCTTCTTCTATTTCTGTCTTTAGGGTTCTGTAGTTTTCATTGTATAAGTCTTTCACCTCTTTTGTTAGGTTGATTCCCAAGTATTTTACTTTTTTTGAAGATATTGTGAATGGAGTGGTTGTCCTCATTTCCATTTCAGAGGATTTGTCGCTGATATACAGGAATGCCTTTGATTTATGCGTGTTGATTTTATATCCTGCCACTTTGCTGAATTCATTTATTAGCTCTAATAGTTTCTTTGTAGAGCCTTTTGGGTCTGCTAGGTATAGAATCATGTCACCTGAAAATAGTGATAATTTAAGTTCTTCTTTTCCTATTTTTATGCCTTTAATTTCTTTAGTCTGTCTAATTGCTCTGGCCAGTGTTTCGAGAACTGTGTTGAAGTCTCCCATGATTACTGTATGGTGGTCTCTTAGACTCTTGAACTTGAGAAGAGTTTGTTTGATGAACATAGCTGCACCATTGTTTGGGGCATATATATTTATGATTGTTATGTCTTGTTGGTGTATGGTTCCCTTAAGCAGTATGTAGTGTCCCTCTTTATCCCTTTTGATTAACTTTGGCTTGAAATCTATTTTATTTGATATGAGTATGGACACTCCTGCTTGTTTCCGAAGTCCATATGAGTGATATGATTTTTCCCAACCTTTCACCTTCAGCCTAATTATGTCTTTTCCTATCAAATGTGTCTCCTGTAGGCAGCATATTGTTGGGTCTTGTTTTGTGATCCATTCTACTAGCCTGTGTCTCTTAATTGGTGAGTTTAAGCCATTAACATTTAGGGTTATTATTGAGATATGGGTTGTTCTTCCAGCCATATTTGTTCATTTATGTTACTAAACATGGTTTGTTTTCCTCTTTGATTATTTTTCCCCCCTTTACTGTCATACCTCCCACTGTTGGTTTTCATTGTTATTTTCCATTTCCTCTTCCTGTAATGTTTTGCCAAGGATGTTTTGAAGAGATGGTTTTCTAGCTGCAAATTCTTTTAACTTTTGTTTATCGTGGAAGGTTTTAATTTCATCTTCCATCCTGAAGCTTAATTTCACTGGATACACAATTCTTGGTTGGAACCCATTTTCTTTCAGTGTTTGAAATATGTTATTCCAGGATCTTCTAGCTTTCAGAGTCTGTGTTGAAAGATCAGCCGTTATCCTGATTGGCTTACCCCTAAATGTGATCTGCTTCCTTTCTCTTGTAGCTTTTAAAATTCTCTCCTTATTCTGTATGTTGGGCATCTTCATTATAATGTGTCTAGGTGTGGGTCTCTATGATTTTGCACATTCTGCGTCCTGTCGGCTTCTAGGATTTGGGATTCTGTCTCGTTCTTCAAGTCTGGGAAGTTTTCTCGTATTATTTCATTGAATAGATTGCTCATTCCTTTGGTTTGAAACTCTGTCCCTTCCTGTATCCCAATGACTCTTATATTTGGTCTCTTGATGTTATCCCATATTTCTTGGATGTTCTGCTCATGGTTTCTTAACAGTCTTGCTGAGCTGTCTATGTTCTTTTCAAGTTGAAATACTTTATCTTCATGGTCTGATGTTCTATCTTCTAAGTGTTCTACTCTGCTGGTAGTATTCTCAATTGAGTTTTTAAGTTGGTTTATTGCTTCCTGCATTTCTAGGATTTCTGTTTGTTTGTTTTTTATAACCTCTATCTCCCTGTATAGTTGATCCTTTGCTTCTTGGATTTGTTTATGTAATTCATTGTTGAAGTGATCTTTCATTGTCTGATTTTGCTGTCTGATGTCTTCCTTGAGACTCCAGATCATCTGAAGCATGTATATCCTGAATTCTTTATCTGACATTCCATCTGCTGCAGCTATTACCTCTTCTAACGTTGAGTTGACCTGCATTGCTTGTGGTCCTTTCTTTCCTTGTCTCTTCATACTGTTCGTGTTCCTTTCTACTTGGTGAATCTGTTGTGCTATGGAATTTTCCCCCTATATATTTATATTGGTCTTGTATAGTTGCAAAGTCTCCCTCGCAGGCGCGGGGGGCGGCTCTGCCCCTCCTCCAATTGGGGCAATGTGCCTACCACACCGGCAGGCCGCTGGGCCTGCTCTGCTGGTCGGTAGCAGGTCCACCTACCTTGCAGGTGCGGGCAGCGGCTCTGTCTCTCTGTGGGCCGCTAGGCTTGTTCTGTCGGTGGTTGCAGTTCTGCCTACTTTGCAGGCGCATGCAGCGGCACTGCCCCTCTGCAGGCCTCTGGGGCTGTTCTGCCAGTGGGTCGCAGGTCCGCCTACCTTGCAGGTGCGGGGGGGGTGCGGCCCTACCCTTCCTCAGGCCACTGGGCCTGTTCTGTCTGTCGGTTGCAGGTCTGGCCTGTTCTAGTGGTGGTCACAGTTCCGTTTACCTTGCAGGCGCGGGGGGAGGGGGCGGCTCTGCCTCTCAGCAGGCCGCTGCGCCTGTTCTGCCGGTGGGTCTCAGGCCCACCTACCTTGCAGGAGTGGTTGGCAGCTCTGCCCCTCCGCGGGCCACTGGGCCTTTTCTGTCGGTGGTCACGGTTCCGCCTACCTGGCAGGCGCGGGGGGTGGGGGGCGGCTCTGCCCCTCAGCAGGCCGCTGGGCCTGTTCTGTGGGTGGTCACAGTTCCGTCTACCTTGCCGGCGCAGGGGGAGGGGGCGGCTCTGCCTCTCAGCAAGCCACTGCCCCTCTTCTGCCGGTTGGTCGCAGGCCCGCCTACCTTACAGGAGTGATTGGAAGCTCTGCCCCTCCGCGGGCCACTGGGCCTTTTCTGTCGGTGGTCACAGTTCCGCCTACCTGGCAGGCGCAGGGGGTGGGGGGTGGGGGGCGGCTCTGCCCCTCAGCAGGCTGCTGGGCCTGCTCTGTGGGTGGTCACAGTTCCCTCTACCTTACCAGCGCAGGGGGAGGGGGCGGCTCTGCCTCTCAGCAGGCCGCTGCTCCTCTTCTGCCGGTGGGTCTCAGGCCCGCCTACCTTGCAGGAGTGATTGGAAGCTCTGCCCCTCCGCGGGCCACTGGGCCTTTTCTCGTATGTTGTGTCTTGATTTCATTTCTTTCATCTATGTACCAGAAGCAGGAAAAAAGTATGAGGAAACTCCATACAGTGTTTTTATAATGGCTATCCTAATGTACATTCCCACCAACAGGTATAATGTGTTCTTTTTCTGCACACCTCTCCAACGTTTGTTATTGGTTGTTGTGGTGGTAGTGGTGGTAATTTGTGTTTCTGATTTTAATTTTCATGTTTTGATGATTGCCATTCTAACCAGGGTAAAATGATATCTCTTGGTAGTTTTGATTTGCATTTGCCTGGTGGCTTAATATTATTGAGCATTTTTAAAATGTATTTATTATTCAGTTGTATTTCTTCTATTGAAAGTGCCTACTAAGATTATTTATCCATTTTTCTTTAAACATTCTTTTTAGTTGTTGATAGACCTTTATTTCATTTATTTATATGTGATGCTAATAGTTGAGCCCAGGGCCTCATGCATGCCAGGCAAGGGTGGTACTGCTGAGCCCCAGCCCCAGCCCCAGCCCTATTTGCCCATTTTTAATTATATTACTTGGGGTTTCTTTGTTTGTTTTCTTATGTATTGTCAGTTTTAATCCTTTGTGAGATGAATAATTGACAAATATTATCTCCCATTCTGTAGGATGTCTCCTCAGTCTATTGACTGTTGTGTAGGAACTTTTCAGTTTGATGTATTCTACTTGCCTATTTTTGCTTTTAGGATCATATACAAAATAATCATAACTTGTATCCATGTTGAGGTGTTTCCACTATGTTATATTTTCTTCCAGTTTGTTTAGGGTTTCAGGTCTTTCAGTAGAGTCTCTGAGTCATTTTGAGCTGAATTTTGTACAGGTGAGTGAGAAGGATCAAGTGGAAATCTTGTGCATGCTACATTTATTGGAAAGGCTCTCCTTTGTCCAGTATAAGTTTTGGTAACTTTGTGGAAAATCAGTTGATTGTAGATACCTGTTTTTCCCGATATGGATCTCCATTCTATTTCATTATTCTATTTGCCTGTTTTTTATTCTTATGGTGGTTCTTTAGCATGACTTGAAGCCAGGCATTGTCCTGTCTCTAGTGTTGCTCCTTTGCTCAGAATTGTCTTGACTGTTTGGGTTCTTTTGTGCTTCCACATGGATTTTAGGATTTTTTTTTTCTAGTTCTGTGAAAAATGTCTTTGGTATTATCATGGAAATTGAATTGAGCCAGAAAACTGATTTGGATAGTATGATTTTTTAATAATATTAATTCTCCAGTTTTTGAACATTGGGCATTTATTCATTTGTGTGTTTATTAATTTCTTTCATCAGTTTTTTTTTTTTTTTGTAAAGTCCATTGTAGAGGTTTTTCACTTCCTTGGTTAACTTTTTTTTATAAAGTAAACAAATCTATAATTTTGGATTTGGATAGTTTTAAAAAAAATGAAATTTATTGATCAACTAATTGTAATTTCCTTTTAGAGAGTCCCATGAAATGAACATTTTTCTACTTTAATTTTTACTACTTTTAATTTCTTTGCTCATAAAATGACAGAATTGAGTAATATGATTGGCCAGTATTAAAATTAACTAAACTATATGGTTCTATTGGTGATTGTGATTCAGAGAAATTATCCAAAGATCACAAGAGGCAGGATTGCCAAAGAGATTAGATTTTGAGGCAATTGAAAATGATGCACTCTATTTCATAAGGTGGGGAAAATTCCCTCTTTTTTTTCCCTCTCTGTCTTTCAAATGAAGAAAGAAACTCATTCCACTTTATGAATTTAACTTCTGTGTTACCTTGAATTTACTTTAATATAAAAATTTCTCATTTTATTTTCATTGTTTATGTATATTTGCCTTTTTTCCTTAGAAAACTTGTATATTTTCTGCTTGTATTCATTTGTTCCACAAATATACAAAATTGTACATAGTTACTCTCTGTTTAGTCTTTACCTCTGCTGGTTTTACACATAAATCTTTCAATGGTGTATACACACACATACACACACACACACACCACATATGTGAATGTCCCTAATTCTTTTCCTTTCTACATAATTCCTAATTTTCTACTGGTTTAATGGCAAATATGATTCTGCATTGAAATTGAATTAACAGAGGTTTTTAAAGTGATCTTTTAAAATGTTTTCCAAAATACGTGTTTCTTTGGATTGGAATAGCTTAAAAACACAGTGGATTTGAATGGAGCATTAGGAAAACCATTATCAAATTGGCTAGAAGGTAAAATTCAATTCAAGATTATAGCAAAATTGATAATGAGTTTTAGCATGCTGAATATTTTCATATCAAGGGAATTTCTAGGTAGATATTGCTTAGAGTTTCTACAATTACCTTTCCCAGTTATCTCAAAGAGAAATACATTTTTTAATGTTAATTTTTAATGTTTCCACTTCTTTAGCCTCACCCTGTGATCCCACTTTTCTCCTGAGCTGTGCTCCCTGCAATATGATCTTCTCCATTATCTTCCATAATCGTTTTCATTATAAAGATCAGCATTTTCTAAACCTAATGCGGAAATTAAATGAAAATGTGGCTATTCTGAGCTCCCCATGGATCCAGGTGAGACAATATCCTACCCCTTCTTCCTGAGAAAACATATATGTTCTTTACTTTGACAAGTCAAAACTTCTAGTGGTTCAAGCAGAAGTGAGTCTAGACACCACAGTCTTAACCCAGAGTTTGGTGTCATGTAGTGAGCATCAGGAAAATATGACTGAGTCCTTCACTTTATGCACAGGAGAATGAATGTCCACATGTAGAGATGACATGCAAACCTATTGGCTTTCTGGCCAGTGCTTTTGCTAATACCCCATAAAGCCTAATATTTATAAAGTACTTTGGTGACTACAATTGAGGAAGGTCACGGCACTCAGTAGACACCCAGACCTCTGTGGAGAACTTATCATTCACAAGGGCGGCACTCCAATCACCACTTAGAAATGTCATCACGTTCCTTGGCACAAATACAGTTATTTGATTCTTGACAAAGGATCCAAAACATATGTTGGAGAAAAGATAGCCTTTTTAACAAATGGTGCTGGGGAAACTGGAAATTCATATGTGACAGAATTAAATTGAACCCCTATCTCTCACCCAGCAAAAATCTCAACTCAAAGTGGATCAAGGACCTAGATATTAAACCAGACCCCTGTACCTACTAGAAAAAAAAAGTAGGCCCAGTTATATCATGTTGGCTTATGAACTAATGTCTTCAGCAAAACTCCTAAAGCATAATATATAAAACCTAGAATCAATAAATGGGATGGTATCAAACTAAAAACTTCTTCACAGCAAAGGAAACAATCAAGAATGTGAGAGAGTCCTTACAGAATGGGAGAAAATCTTTGCTACCTGCACATCAGAGCATTAATGCCAGGATATACAAAGAACTCAAAAAACGTAACACCAAATTATCAAATAACCCAATAAATAAGTGGGCAAAGGAACTAAACAGACACTATTCCAAGGAAGAAGAATGAATGCTCAACAAATATATGAAAACATGTTCAACATCTCTAGCAATTAGAGAAATGCAGAGTAAAACTACACTGAGATTTCATCTTACTCTAGTTAGAATGGCAATTATCAAGAATATACATACCAATAAATGTTGGTGAATATGTGAGGAAAAGGGTACACTGATACTTTGTTGGAGGGACTGCAAATTGTTGCCACCACTCAGAAAAGCAGTATAGAGATTCCTCAGAAAACTAGGAATGGAACAGCCATTTTACCCAGTTTTCCTATTCCTCCATATATATAAATGATTTGATATCAGCACACTATAGTAATACAGCTACAAAAATGGTCATTGAAGCACAATTCACAATAAAAAAAACTGAGCTACAGAGCCAACCTAGCTACCCTTCAACAGATGAATGGATAAAAAAAATGTGGTATATATACACAGTGGATATTACTCAGCCACACAGAAGAATGACTTTATGGCATTTGCCAGTAAATGGATGGATCTGGACACTATCATGCTAAGTGAAATAAGTCAGTCCCAGAAAACCAAAGGTCAAATGTTTTCTTTGATATGTAAAAGCTAATCCAAAATAAAGTGAGTCAAATAAAAGAAAAAGAACAGGAAAACAATTAGTGGAGTAGATGAAGGATAATGAAGGAAAGGGAGGAGTAAATGGATAGTTAAAGACAATGGAATGAATCTTTTCTAATATTCCTATGTACACATAAAGATATACCACAGTGAATCTCATCATTATATAAATACACAAGACAATAATCTAAAAAAAATACCTGTAAGTAAATAGCAGACAGGTCAGAATAGTAGTGGGAAGGGAATAGTGGTGGGATGAAGGGAGGAAGAGGAGAAGTACTGAGAACTGGATTAGATTAAATTATATTCCATGCTGTTATAATTCTGTCAAAATGAATTCTATTATCATGTATACCTAAAAACAACAATAAAAAATGAACTGTAGATATGCACACACATACACACAAAAGAAATTCCTTCATTTAGGATATTAAGGAGGTGAAATGGGAGCATAGATATTTCATGGAAACAACTGGGTAGAAGTTTTAGATGCTTGTTTTAGTCATCTTTATCATATCTGTGACTAAAAGACCTGAAAAGAACAATGGAGAGGTCAGAAAATTTCTTGGAGCTCACAATTTTAAAGGTCTCAATCTATAGATGTTTGGCTCCATGCTTTGGGGCCTGAGGTGAGCACCACATAATAGCAGAAAGGTGTGGTAGGTAAATTAGCAAAGGGCATTGGTCCAGTAAGCAAAGGGACCCCACTCACCATGAACAAAATATGCAAAGACACACCTGCCAGTGGTCCACCCCCTCCAGCCACAACCTGCCTAAAGTTACCACCAGCTTAATCCCGGTAAATGGATTAATGCACTGACTAAGTTAAGGCTCTCATTACTCAATTATTTCATTTCTAAACTCTCTTGTATTTTCTCACACATGATATCATGGGGGACACCCCTCATCTAAACCATAACAACACTTCAGATGGCATCTGACCTGACAAGGTAATAGGGTTAAGTTAATGAAATGATGGCATTGCCGAGTGCATAGCCCTCAACAAACATTTTTACCTTATGCTTAGCTGGCAGGTTCTGTATTCTTCATAAAAGTTAATTGTGAGATCTTCGGAATTCTACTAACTACTCTTGTGCGTGGTTACTTCATCCATAGCATGCCCAGCTGCGTTTCACAGTATTTTCAAAACCTTCTGCATTCTCTAGTATTTACTCCATTTCTGAGGTTGCTTCATATAAGGAAAAGCAGAGAGCAGCATTGTACTCTCTTTTTTGTTTTTAGGGTTTTTTATTAGTTCTTTTTAGTTATATATAACAAAAAGATTCCTTTTGACATAATTATAGAATGATGGAAAAATTTGTTCTAATTCAGTCCCCACCACTTCCTCTGAGCCTCCCCCTGTTGGCTTCTCTCTACTGAGCATAATTCATAATCACCAAGCATTGTACTCTTTCCCTGATTACCGAAACTCCCTGAAATTCTATTCTCATCTACCAAGCATCAATCATGGTAATTCACATCAAGCTATATTTCCAGATTGTACAGAAAGATTAGATTGAAAGTGGAGAGAACTTATATAAACTTATTTTTATATCTAAAGATGATGGATGAATATAGAAAAGGTTATCATTTCTGATCCCCTGGTCATAGTTGTGCCCCTTAAATCTTTCTTTAAGCTTGGGTATTAGTATATATATACAGTGAAAACTTCTCCCTTAAGGTGGAAACCATTTTTTTTAATTGTTAAAGTTATAGTTTCTAAGATGGACTAGTCATAATATTCATCTTTTTCTTATCTGTTTCTAATAAAAAATATTTTTATTTTGTAGGTCTGCAACACTTTTCCTGCTCTCATTGATTATTTTCCAGGGAGCCATAAAACATTCCTTAAGAATGCTTATGACATAAAACAGTATTTTTTGGAGAAAATAAAAGAACACCAAGAATCTCTAGATATGAACAATCCTCGGGACTTCATTGACTATTTCCTGATTAAAATGGAAGAGGTAGAATGTGAACAACAGCTCATATATCTGATTGCTTCTACATTTTGTGTCTAATTGATTAATCTATGGTTACTGGGGCTAGTTCAGTGGTCAGGCAAGACATTCTTGACAAGCACTTTAAGCATATCTTGTTTTTATAGATATGCATCATAGAAGAATTAAAAATAAATTGTTAAATAGCTAGAATACATGAAACCTGTTCGATACTAATAATCTACCTGATGAAAGACAAAATCCACACCTCAGGTGAAAAGAAAATAATTATAGACAAGCTAGAAAATATAAAATTGGCACCACAAAATGTGAATTGAAATAATTGTTCCTTACTCAGTTTTGGGGAGAATGAAAAAGCCTATGTAATGGCTCCTTAGTGATCCAGATAAAGTGACCAAAACATACAAAGGTGGTTTTTGTAGGACAGGATCCCTGTTGCCCATTCTAAGGTCAACTAGATGCAACAGGGAATGTAATCCAGTATCCTCACAGCTGCCTGCAGTGGGTGCTGCTCTATGGGGAAGAGTAGCTGGTTTGTGAGACACTGAGATTTATAAGAAATTTTCTTAATCAAATATTTCCCTTGATAACATAGTTTTAAGCTCGGTTCCAGAGTTTCAAAACAGTTGCTTCAGACAGTTCATACTAAGTCGGTAGTTGCTTTTCTGGAAGGACTGATACCTGGACCGTCCTATTCTACCATCTTTGAGTCATTACTTCTGTATGGTCATGTTTTTTAAAAGTTTTTATTTACACATTAGAATTATCTGTAAGGATGGGATGTATTGTGATATAGTCATACATGTACATAGCACAAATTTATCAGTTTCTTTCCCATATACTTCCCATTTCCTTTCTTTTCTCCCTCCCCCATTCCCTTTACCTACTGTCTTTGTCTTTTTTCCATTTTGACAATGTCCTTTTACGTTTCCCTTTCTCTCTAGCTACCACATATGAGAGAAAACATGTGACCCTTGACTTTTTGAGTCTGGTTTTTCACACTTAGCATTGTGTTCTCTAGTTCTATCTGTTTCTTTGAAAATGACATTTTATTCTCTAAGATTCAGTGGAACTTCGTTGTGTATACATACCACATGATCTTTATCCATCCATCTGTTGATGGATACATAGGTGCGTTTTTAAACATTTATTTTTTTCCATTTATTTTTATTGCTGGATTACAGTTGTAAATTGTGGTAGGATTTGTTGTTACATATTTATACAGGCACCCAATATAACAATGTCATTCAGCCAAAATCATTTTTCAGTATTTCCCCTTTCTGTTACCTCCTCACTTCCCCTGAACCCTTTCTTCTACTTTACTGATTTTCCATTGATTTTCATGAGTTTTTCCCCAACTGTTTTCCTTATTTAATTCCTTAGGATAATTACTGAGGAGTTGTATAGCTGGGTCATATTGTGGTTCCAGTCCTAGTATTTGAGGAACCTTCATAACGATTTCCATAGTGGCTGTGCTAATTTATCCCAGCAACAGTGTAAAAGTATTTTTTCCCATCTGTGTCATCTGTGGCATTTATTATTGTTTGTGTTTTTGAGGATTGCCATTCTAATTGGGGTGAGGTTAAATATCAGTGTCTGAAATTTGAATTTCCTTAATTGCTAAAATGCTGTTTTTTCTTATACTTGACCATTTGTATTTCTTCTTTTGAGAAGTGTGTCTTTAGTTAATTTGTGCACTTAGTAGTTAGGGTTACTTGTGTATTTTGGTGTTAAGTTTTTTGAGTTATTTATGTATTATGGATTTTTTAAGAGAGAGAGAATTTTTTTAATATTTATTTTTCAGTGTTTGGTGGACACAGCATCTTTATTTTATTTATTTTTTATGTTGTGCTGAGGATCTAACCCAGCGCCCAGCGCATGCCAGGCGAGCTCATTACTGCTTGAGCCACATCCCGAGCCCCTATATTATGCATATTAATCCTCTGCAGGAAGAGTAGCTGGCAATTTTTTTCTCCCATTCTGTAGGTTGTCTTCACATTCTTATTTATTTCCTTTCTTATGTTTAAGAAAAATAAAAAGGAGACATAGAGACAAGATGCAGAGTCAGGAAAAGAAGTGGCTGCTCGTCCAAGTGGCCACGTTTATGGTACTAATACATCAGATCATTAGTACCATAACTTCACCCCTCTGGCCTTGCAGATTGCAGTCCACATGGACTTTCTCTTGGTTTGTCTCTGCTCAACTCTTATGGATTTCTTTGGCAGATATAATGTTATTAAAACTTCTTAAACTCAGGGCTTTCCACTCTAGTTTCAGCTTCCTGCTCACATCATGCATTGCCCTATCAGGGGCTCTCTGCACAGAAATCTGACCCTGCTCCAATTTGCTTGGTCTCCCAGATCATCCTTTGAAATCTTGGTGGAATCCTTCATGACCCCCTAATTCCAGCATCTTGCATTAATGCAATACTAGCACCACATGTTTGACACCAAGATTTGTCACCATCTGGAGCAACAGCCAAGCCTCCAGGGACCATAGCTATGAAGGTCTCTCTATCTGCATCATCCTGCACATTGAAATATCTTCCTAGCTCCTTGTACAAGTAGGGTATTCCCAAGGTTTCTTCTCAAAGGAATTTTTACTTTGACACCTTAAGACTGAGATGGGTGTGGTCTTCCCAATTCCTGAGAGGCTCTCAAGCCATCTTTCCTATTGTCCCTTTTTAAACTACTTAGCATCCTTTTACTAGCTATAATCTTTTTAACAACCACAAATTCTGTAGCCCCAGTTTTACATGGACTTTTCTGCTAACCTACAATTTTTCAAATCTTTCTGCTTTTATTTCTTCTTCTGATTATCACAGTACACTTGACTAAAAGTCACTAGCAATATCCATGACCCAGTCTGAATGCTGTACAGCCTTAAAATTTCTTCTGCCTGATTAATTAGTTTAGCACTATTACATTCATCCTCACAGAAAGGCTAAGGACCTGGGCAAAATGTAGACAATTTCTTTTCTGGAACATAACATGAACATGAAAGCATTTCAGGACCTGGCAATCAGGAAGCAGAGAGCTCTACGCACCAAGGACAAAATATAAACCCAAAGGCACACCCTAATGAACCTTCTTCCAGCTATCTATAATTTCTGCTCATCTGGAAAGTTTTTTATTGATTTTTAATTCTGAAGATAGTTTTGCCTGATATAGTAATTTTGATTGGTAATCATTTTTTTTTAAAGGCTGGGAATTCATCATTCCATTTCCTCCCATCTTTTACTTTCTCAGCTAAGAAATCAGAAGTAATTCTGCCTTGATTACCTCTAATGTGACATGATATTATCTCTTGAGGCTTTTAAAAATTGTTTTTTATGTTTCTTAGGGGTTTAAGTTTGATGAGTCCGGCAGAGGTTCTTATTTTATCTTTTTTATTTGGCGTTATTAATGTCCTCTCTTTGGAGCCTCTCTCACTCCAACAAGTGAAAATTTCAATGAAAATGTTACACATGTCTTTAACTTTTATCCCAGTTCCTTCTTTAATTCCAAAGAGTCTTAAGTTTTCCCGGATTTCTTTATATTGTGAACTGGGTTTTTTTCTTTTCTTTATTGCATTATTGCTGATTGAGTTTTAAAGTTCATACACCTTGTCTTAAATATCTAAAATTCTTCCTTTCATGCGGTATAATTTATTGGTGAGATTTTTAACTGAATATTGATTTGACTTGCATAATTTTTTATTTTCAGGATTTCTGTATATTCTTTATTTAGATTTTCTTTTTCTTGAGATGCTCTTTCACTTCTTACATTTTCTCTCCTCTTTAATTCCTTAGGCATGCTTTGAATTCATTGATCATTTTAATCATCTAAATTTGTGAATTCAGTTATTGGTAAGTTACATATTTTTTAGATGTCCTGTTGTCCTTTTTGCTCAAGTTATCTGGGTCCTATTTTGTTAATCTGATAAGAGGGTTTCCTCTTGCTGTTTTATGTGAGAGTCTTTGTAAGTAGTGATGTCTCAATAATAAGCCCATGACTTAGTTTCCCCACATCTAATTATAATTTAAAAATATTAATTCAATCATTGGTATCATTGGACCCCTTTGAAAGGAGAGAATCATCACTCCTATAATGGTAATTTAAGAGCAACCTAATGTTTACAGAAGTTATTATTACTGATCACTACAACTCTATTGACTAAAGAGTATTGGTTTATAATAGGCTGAGAAGATCAAGTGTTAATAGTACTATATTAAATTTCATTGGAAAAATTGATAAATTAAAAATAAAGAAATTAGAATACAAAGGAAAAAAAGAAAGAGGGTGTTGGAGGAAATGGAGACACAAGTTAAAATGAGGTGAATATAAAGGATGAGGGACATGAGAAAGTAAAGGATATCAGAGAGAAGAAATGATATATTAAGAGAGAATCCAATTAATTGACAAAATACATAATATAATTCTGGCAAAACACAAAATTTGGGCAGACACTAGGACAGAGTATCAAAAAGTTGATGCAACATCTGTCTTTTTGAAAATTTATTTTCCTTGCTCAGTTTTTTGAAATAGAGGCGTTCACCTTCAGAGTTTCAGTTGCAGAATCTCCTAGGAGGAAGAATGTTTTCTCCCATTATGGTTTAGTGTCCCCTTTATGGCCAGACTGAGTCACAAAATGGGAACTCACCAACTGACTAAATAGTATAACCTAATTGGCTAATTGTTAGGTAATCTATAAGCAAGTGTATCAAGAGCCAGTAAAAAATCTAAAGTGAAGAAAGGGGGAAAATGAAAAAAAAATAGTGCAACATGAAAGATAAAGGTAAGTTGCAGGGATTTGTATTTTAACACTTAGGAAGTTCAAACATTATTTTTTTAAGCTTTCATGGTTTTCCTACTTTAACTCTGTCCACTGGGGGATGCCGGGAATTCTCCCATTCTAAATCAATCTATCTATCTATCTATAATATGTATATTATATATATATGTATATATATTATGTATATATATATATACTCATTGTAATATTATTCATTGTAATATGTAATATTATAATTTGTTATATTCTGTGCTCCAGTAATTCCCCCAAGTCCTCTGCTCTTTTCTACCTCTTATACCTTTGCTCTACTTTATTGGTTAACCTTCTATTTCTTCTCTCTCTCTACCCTCTAATAATAAACAAAAATTTTGAACTTTTGACTTTCTGAGTCTGGCTATTTTTTAGTATGATATTCTCTAGTTTCATCCATTGATCAGAAAGTGGTACAATTTCATTTTTCTTTATGGCAGAATGAATATTGTGTATATTTATCATATTTTCTTTATCTTAATTAAAAATAAAAATCATAACTCTTTATTAGACTGTCAATTGAGGGGCATCTAGGATATTTCCATAACTTGGTCATTGTGAATTTTACCACTATCAACACAAGTATGCATGTATCACTACAGAATACTTACTTTAGTTCTTTTGTGTAAATACCAAAGAGTAGAAGAGCTGAATCATATGAAGTTTCCATTCCTGTTTTATGCAGATCTGTACACTGCTTTGCAAAGTGATAATACCAATTTTCAGTCTCACTAAAAACATATGAGTGTATCTTTCCCCTGATATCCTCCAAAGCAATTAATTTTATTTGTATTCTTAATCGTTAACATTCTAAGTGAAGTATAATTAAATTTCAGGTTAACTTTGTCAGTTCCCTGATCATAAGAGATATTTAAACACACACACACACACACACACACACACACACACACATTGGCCATTTGCATTTCTTCTTTTGAGAAATGTCTGTTTAGTTTGTTTGCCCATGGACTAATTGGGTCATCTGGTTGTTTGATATTAAGAATTTTTTTAGTTATTTATATATTCTAAATATTAATCCTTTTTCAGAAGAGTATCTGAAAAAAATTTTCTCCACTTCTGTTGGCTCTTCATGCTCCTGTTTTCTTTGCTGTGAAGAAGTTTTTAAATTTAATGCCATCCTGTTTATTGATTCTTGGTTTTTCTCCTTGAGCTTTAGATATACTATTCAGGAAGTTGGTTTTTTGTGCTAGAATCCTAACCTAACATTAGGTTTTCTACAAGCCATTTCAGAGTTTCTGGTCTAATTCCTATATCAATTATCCACTTTGAGTTTACTTTTGTGGAAGGTGAATTATAGTAATCAGGTTTCATTCATCTACATATGGATATCCAGTTTCTCATCATTACTTATTAAAATAAGATCTTTTCTGCAACATGTTTTTGGCAGCTTTTTCAAGTACCAGATGACTGTGTCTATGTGAATTTGTCACTGTGTCTTTTATTCGGAATCATTGTTCTTCATGTCTGCAAATACAATGCTTTCATCAGAGACTTGCGTGTCTTCCATTTTCCTTCACTACGTGTTATGGATTTCATGTGATTTGTTCCCTCCGAAACATATGTTGAATGTAGCAGTGTTGAGAGGTGCTGGAAAAAAATAAACCTCTATTTTTTATAAATCACCCAGTTTCTTTTGTCTGATATAGGAATAACAACAACAAAAGAAGTAAAATATTGTACTTATACTAACTTTTATGTTCATGATTAAATCTTAAATTCTCAAAATAATTTTTGTCTTACCTATACTGTGTCTATATTTTGAGTAGAAACAAGAAAAGAGAAGTGGCACCAACAGACACTTGCTTGTATTTTATTGATAAGAAATACATTGCATGTCCTTCCTAGTTACAAAATGGATGGTGAACAGAATATTTAGGTAACAAGGTTCAAGAGGGTAAGAAATGGAGATTTGGTCAATTAATCTGTAATTTACCATATCACACAGTAGTTTTTTATAGTATTTTATAACACTTTAATAACATTGTATTATTTTGTGTCTATGTTGACTTAACTTTATAACCATCTGATTTCTTTTGAAGTTATTATAATTATGTACTAACTTATTTGCGAAATAAGTGCTTTGAATTATTTCCAGGAAAAGAACAAGCCACAGACTGAATTTACCACTGAAGCCTTAGTAAGCCTTGTGAATGATCTGTTTGGAGCTGGAACAGAGACAACAAGCACTACTCTGAGATATGGACTCCTGCTCCTATTGAAGCACATAGATGTCACAGGTATGACTGCAGATGGTGAGCAGGGTGAATTTCACTGCAGAAATTTGAAAAAAACACTGCTAATGTCCTCTGTCTTATTTGTCTTGAAAACTTTCTTGAGTGAAATTTCTGTGCCACTTGTTATGATTAATCCAAAGTTAATGAAGGGATAAAAAATAAGAGAACATTGCACAATATGGGACAGTGACTGAGAGAAGTGAAGGACAGCATGGGCAGTAGCAAGGCAGTGGAGCTCTGGTCATGTCTGCATCCCACTGGGAAGTGATGTGCAGCATGCAACAGCCAGCATGAGTTGGCCTAAGACTGCATGTTGGACTTCCTAAGAAGAAGATACTTGGATTATTTTGAGAGTTCTTGCAAGATTTCTGTGGAATTCTTTTCTTATTCTGAAAATTTCATGCTCTAGTTCTAGATCAGGAAAATCATAATTCTTTATTGGAGTATAAATAGAAGCTTTAGAAAGTTAATGAGGTGGCAGGGATATTACTATAGTCTGAGAAGTTTTCTAAAAGGTAAGAAAACTAAACTTTATTTTTTTAATTGTTGCTACTTAGAAGGTGTGCCCAAAGGATTTCATTATTCTAGAAGTGTGTTTCCATTAACTTTATCTTTTTTGAGCAGCTCTATTTAGAAATGTACCTTTAAAGAGTTATAGTAATGCATAGCAGATTACAAGCAAACACCATCTTTTCCTGTTTCAGGACCCCATTATAAAGTAATCACAAATGAGAGTTACTCCTTTTAACATGGGAAAAGAGAAAACAGCCAACAAAACTTCAACAAATTTCTGAAACACAGAGAACAGAAGGAAGGGACATAACTTAGCAGAGAGTATGAAGCTATATCTTGTATGTCAGAAGAAAAAGTTGTATTAGTGTAGGAAAGCCAACCTGTGTACCTAAAAATATCCATAAAGTTCAGCATTTAGAAACACCACATGTCAAACAAATTAGGGGAAATTGAGGCAAAAATAGGAGTCCCTCTATGCTCCTATGCCCTCCTCTACAACCTCTTTTATCAGTTAAATGTTTTCTCTCATAAGAAGAGAGGTTTACACTCTAGAGAAACTTATGCTAGCAGGTCCTGTAATCAATTTTAGAACATCAAAGTCATGTTAAAAATCACATAAACATCAGAAGTAAGCCATATATTATTTTCATAATATTATGAATTAGAAGGGTATCAGAGTTCTAAAGAGCAACTGTTATTTTGTGTGTTAATAGAAAAGGTAAGAGCCATGTGTGGTGGCACAAGCTTAGAATCCCATCTATTAGGAGGTTGAAGCAGGAAGTTAAGGCAAATTCAAGGCTAGACTAGGCCAGCATCTTTCAAAATAAAACAAAAGGTCTGTGGGTGTAGCTCAAAGAAAGAGGACCTCTGGTTCAATCCCCAGGACAAATAAAACAACACAAAACACAAAAACAAAAACCACTACCAAAACCAACCAAGCAACCAAAAAAACAGTCCCAAAGCAACAGCAAAACCAAAACATCAACAAAAAGAAAGGAAAAATGTTTTTACATCCATCTTTGTTACAAAATGTATCCCCCTTTCTCCCTTTCACAGAAAGATACTAGAGTATATGCTCCATCCAAATATTCAAAATCAAGGCAGAGGTAGTCACAGGTTCCTGTAATCAAGAGACCATATGCATAGGGAGGGGAGTTTAAGGGAAGGTCCTGGGAACTAGGCCTAGGAAACAACCAATTGTCCATATTAAATACATAAAGCAGGTGTAATCAAAGGAAAGTAAAATAAAAGAGAAAATTTGAAACATTTAGTAAATTATTACTAGGAGTTTGAAACATCAACCTAAGGGTATGGATACAATATAAGCAAATTCAAAATTAGGAATTGGTATATGTTGTTCAAATATAGGTTGAACATATGCAATGAATGAAACATATACAGTTACTTTACAGGACAAAATTGATTATGCAGTCATAATGTTGTAACAAAATATATTTATATAATAAAAAATTGTGATCAATATATATAGGAGTAGAGAGTGAAAATATGTCAGTATGTGAGTGTATATATTTATTTGTGGTATGTATTTTGCATGGAGTAGATTTGGATCTTAATGTTTCTTACGAGGAACTCATTAAAAATTGTCTAAACTTGGATAAATCAAGGAACCAAAATATATCATTATTCAAAAATAAGAACATTTCAGAAGACATTTTTTTAAATAATTCAAAAAGTCTACAATTAAGGAATGAGTGACTGAAAAGGGTCCCACAGAAAAACACAAACACACTCATACACAAATATAGACATGCACAGAGACATGCATACATATAGATCCATTAGTTAGAATTTAATTTTATAATGTCATATATTATTTTGGTGTAAAATTATGTTTCTTCCTGTTTTTCTTTCCACGATGATATTAATTATTTAATTACTTATGTGATGACTCGATTTTTGAAACTTTTTATAGTTTCTATTTCTATTTGCTATCATATATGCTAGAATGTTAGGCTTATATAAGTTTAGAGATATATATATATTTTTTTAATATTTATTTATTTTTTTAGTTCTCGGCGGACACAACATCTTTGTTTGTATGTGGTGCTGAGGATCAAACCCGGGCCGCACGCATGCCAGGCGAGCGCGCTACCGCTTGAGCCACATCCCCAGCCCTATAGATATATTTTAATACTTAGCTTATAGGAGAGTCATGAATGTATATGACTCCTATATACTTATGTGTATGTATATATGTATTTTTATATGTGTATCAATACTTGTTGATAAGTATTGATAAATAGAGAAAGTATTATGGTGATCTTTTTACATGCACAGAAGTGCTTGTTGCATATAAGTCGTGTCTATAATAACTTTTGGATACACACACAATGCCTCATATAACCCTGAATTATTTTAAGAAATATATTATTTTTCTCTTTCCCATTTGTTGTTATTTGTTTCTTACCAGCTAAAGTCAAGGAAGAGATTGACCATGTGATTGGCAGACACCGCAGCCCCTGCATGCAGGACAGGAGCAGTATGCCCTACACAGAAGCTGTCCTGCATGAGATCCAGAGATACATTGACCTCGTTCCAACCAATATACCCCATGCAGTGACCTGTGACATTAATTTCAGAAACTACTTCATTCCCAAGGTAAGATTCTTTTTCTCACATGGAAGTCTCCATCTTTGCAGTGTGGTCCCAATCCTTGCCAACACAGGATAAGAGAAGTACAAAACCCACCCATGCAGCACCTTGATTTACTCAGTGCTAGACCAGACTAGGCCATGAGGCTCTATAACTGTTCCTGACATCCAGCAGGGTGAACTCTCCTAATTTCTTCTGCTCCTTCAAGTTTGTTTTGTCTACTCTCAACTGTGTGTATTTCCAAACAAATTTTAGAATCAATTTGTCAATTTTCTAAAACACTCTCCTAGGATATTTTTCAGCATACTATTAAATCTGTAAATCAGTTTGGAAAGAATTGGCATCTTGACATGTTGGATATTTCAGTTAAAGAACATTGTGTATGTTTCTCATTTTCTTTCAGTTTTTAAATTTTTTTTCCAATAATGTTTTGTTTTTAATAGAGTGGTTTCTATACTTTTTGAGAAATTTTTAATTAGGTAATTAATATTTTGAAAGTTACTATAAATTGTCCAATTTAAATAATGCCTTTTCCAATTTGTTGTTCTTGGCACATGGACATATTGTTACAGTTTTATTTAATGACTTTATATCTAGAATTCTTGTTAACTTTTTAAATCATTAATAATAATTTGTCTTTAGATTCTTTTGGAACTTCTTATGTATATTATACTTCCATCTTGTTGTTGTATCTGTTATTTTCCATTTCTAGTGACCTTAATTTCTGTTTCTTACATTATTGTTCTCGCTTGCATTTCCAACACAGTGTTGAACAGAAATGGTATGTTGAGCATGCTTTTAATCATTATTTTTTGATTCTAGCAGAAGGTTAAGGTTTAACAATATAGTATTGAGTGTGATGTTATATGTACATTTTGGCAGATATTCTTGATCAGATGAGGGAAGGCTTCCTTTTCTTATACTGTATCATTTGTTTAACACTAATGTATAATTTTATCAAATGGACTCCCTGCATCCATTGATCATGTGTTTATGATCATATATTTTGGTCCTTTCTCCTCTAAATGTGCATATTATAAGTACAGGCACACAGCAGAATTTTATCCACAATTTGATAAAGACTTTTTCTTTTCCCATATTTTTTATCAGTGCATTATTGTTGTACATATTGATGGAATTTATTGTTACATATTTGTGCATGCATACAATACAGCAATGTATTTTGGCCAATATCACTCCCCAGTCTTTTGTATTCATATTTTTGACAGATTAGTCTCTAACTTTTCTTATTGAAATGACATTGTCATATCTCTGTCAAAGTAATGCTGGCCTCATAAAATGAGGGAGATCATATTTCCTACTTTGAGACTATTTTCGTTGCCTTTCTATACTCCTACTTTCTTTTTGTGGCCTCTTAGTTGTATCTTTGGATTGCCTAGTAATGTTTGCCTAAGCACATTGCACGATTGCACAATTGGGGGAACCTCAGAGGTTGGCTTATAGCTGTGGTCAATTTTCAGCTGTGTTAGTCAACATCTCTGAGTCAGGTCAGGAGGTGTTGTAGCATTCTGACTACCAGGTAGGGGAGGAGAGAAATCCGTCTGGAAAAAAGATGAACATTACCTGATAACAGCTTTCCAACTAATCTAACATTCAGTTTCTATTTTTATTTAGACTTTCTGGTCAATATGTTCCAAGCTACTCTATTTCACCTAAAGCCAGAACTTATTACTAATGCAAGTTACAACTGATAGAACTAAAATTTGTGTTTTCGTGGTGGAGAAAAAATTACAATTTTAGTAAGGTTAGAAACACTCTTTTCATGTGTTTCTGGGGAAGACTTTCCTGAGAGGTGATGGGCCTTGAGCTGGTGATGACAGATTTCATACAAGAGTTAGATTTCTTTTTCAATTTATTCTTTTTTTTTCAGCAATAATACAAGCAGAATATCTTTTATGCCTAGCCTTTTTTTGAGTAAAGAGGGTCCAGAAACCAAGGAAATGAGCTTTTCCTTTCTATATGGTACAATCCAGTGAAGGGAGTTTATTCACTGCATACCTTATTCTAATGACCCCTTATGAATTGTAAAAAAAAAATGTTCTGCTGTCACGGGATTGAACACTCTGCAAGGCAAACATAATTATCTAAGATAATTTAGCAAACTTCTTCTCTAATGGTCCAGATAGTAAATATTTTAGTCTTTTACATGATGGGGTCTCTCCTGTCACTTTTTGTCTCTAGCTACACAAAAACAATCATAGATGATATGCAAATGAGTGAAAAACATGTGTTCCAATAGTTATGAACAGTGATTATTGTAATTTCCATGTCAGAAAAGATATATATTTTTCAATTTAAAAAATTACTAGATAAAAGGCAGTATGTGAACAGATGACAGACTGGATTTGGATGAGTTGTGATTTACAAATTACTGGTCTGAGCTCTGCTCACAGAACTTTCTGAATGATAGAAATGTTCTATATCTCTGTTACCTAACACAGCAGTTACTAGCCATATACACCTTTTCAGTGCTTATGATATGATTAGTGCAAGTAATGAAATGAAATTAATTCATTTTAACTTATGTGAACTCATTTTAAATTTATGTATATTTTAGTTTAATTTTTATCTAATTTAAATTTAAATTAATTTTTATCTAATTTAAATTTAAATTTAAAGGTTATTGTGTTGGACAGCACATATCTTAGGCTTTTTCCAAGTAGAGTTCAGTATCTTTCATCATATGTGGATGAGGGGCAACAAATAGATACTGGCAGTAAATCTTGGTGTTCTACAGCACATTAGGATAATTTTAGTTTACAATAATCTATTATGTATCTTATAAATGGCCAGAAGAGAGGAGTTCAAATGTTACCAAAGAAACAAAAGGTGATGAAAATGCTACTTGCCCTGATTTGATCATTATGCATGTATACATCACACCATAATAAGTACATTAAAAAAAATTGTCCACCACTAAAAGGCCTGCAAAAAATGCATTTTATTGCTGTCTCACAGAGTTGCCAATGTGGAACAGAGTTTGAGTGAATCAATTATATTCTTCTTTATTCCACTTTCTTTGAAATAATAATTTATTTTGCTAAAAATATTCATGTATCTTATTCTCTTACATAATATTATCCTACATTACCCCATTGGGAATATCATAAATATCTATAGTGCTTACATCATAATACCTTTCTAAAATGTTAAATAGTCTAACAATGGAGCAATTTCACCTCTAAGACAGATATTCATACTTAATAACTGAATCAGAAAGGTTGAAGACAATAAAACTGCCCTGTCTCCCCCCACACATCACATGCATATAATATTTCCTTTTAGTCTCTTCTAAATGAATTGGGTACCACCTTCTGTCAACTGTATCCAAAAATAAATAAATAAATAAAATAAAAAGTGAGGCTGCTACTTAGAAATGCAAGTTACCTTAATCTAAGAATTCATTTTACCTAAGAATAAGGAAGACTTCAGTATGAACTCTAGCTCTGCAACTCTTACTGTTACTCTTGGGTAGATGTCCGATCCCTTTGAGTCTTGGCTTTCTCATTGGCACACCGTTGATAATGCATTATTTGCTTCACTATAATGCTGTAAGAATTCAGCCAGGTAATAAATGCAAAATAAAAGCTAATACTAGGAGAATTTGGTTTTGCCTGTGTCACTGATGCAGCCAAAGGCTGAAAAAACATGTGTTGATGAAGTTATGTATAAATTACCACTTTCATCTGCTGTTGGAAGGATTCTAACAGGTACACCCATTTTGAAGAATAATTTGGCAGTATCTATTAAAATAAAAAATGTGTAAGTCAGGCACAGTGGTATTTACCTATAATCATAGCAATTCAGGAAGTTGAGACAGGAGGATTGCAATTTCAAAGCAAAACTCTATCTCAGATAATAAAAAATAAAAAAAAAACTGGGGCTGGGAATGTGGCTCAGTTGTCAAGCGCCCCTCATTTACATCTCTGGTACCTATTAAAAATGCAAAGAAAATATAAAATGTATATACTATGATGTGGAAAGTCTAAATTTTGGTATATACCCCATGTGCAAATAGGAATATCCAATATGTTCTCATTACATAGTTGCTTGTCACAATTGCAAATTGCCTAATGCTTATCAGCAGTGTAATAGTACATTTGTGTTATTCAGGATATATACTGTGGATGTATATATCAACATATCTAAAATTTTTTATTAAATACAAAATGAAAATACAGTGGAATATCTGCTAGTTGGATGAAAAAATAGCAAAGTAAGAAGTTGCATAATCCTGTTACATAGAGATCTACTTGCTTTACATGCATAGATTAATTATGAAGAAATATATTACTAATTGTTGGCAACAGTTGTTTCTGAAAAGTCCAAATTATGTTCTGTGGTAAAGTGAGAGGGAGATTTATTTTTCATCATATATTCATTTTGATACAATGCCTTCTTCTATTTTTATTTCTTTATTTGTGCTTTTTAGTTATACATGACAGTAGGTTGTATTTTGGGTGCCCTACAACAGAAGAGTGGATAAAGAAAATGTGATATATATATATATATATATATATATATATATATATATACATACATACATACATATACACACACACACACATACACACACACAATGGAATATTACTCAGCCTATTTTATTTTTAATGGAGTTCTAAGTAATGTGATGTAATATAAAATTCCCTCTCTCTTTTAGTTTTATTGGTGCTGGTGATCAAACCCAGAACCTTGTGCATGCTAAGCAAGCATTCTGCTATTGAGCTATATCCCCAGTCTATAACTGACTCTCTTATGGGTACAGTCCACTGAGTTATGAAAAATACATGCGGTGATGTAACGCCACAACAATTAAGTTATAAAATATTGCTGGGCATGATGGTGTATAACTATAACTATAACGTCTGCTACTCAGGAGGCTGAGGCAAGAAGATTGCTTGTGCCCACAAGTTTGAAATCAGCCTAGACAGCATAGTGAGACACTGTGTCTATGTAATATGTCCATTACCACATAAAGTTTCTTCATCCTCCTACTACAATCAATCATACTTCCTCACTTCCAGGCCCTTATGAGCACAGATCTTCTTTCCGTAGCTATGGTTGGATTTATCACAAAAGTCATATAATAGAATATGACAGAACAATACAGAATCAAATTTTTTATCTCTGGCAGTTTTACCTTCATTTATTCTTTCTCCAATACTCTTCTTATATAGAACCAAGCTTCTTTTTAAAATTTTTTATTGACATATGATAATTTTACAGAATAGAGTATTTCACTGTGGCTGATTCATGCATGCACATAACAATAACATCAATTTCACTCCCCAGTACCTTCCTGTGCCCTCCCCTCCTCCTCCCCTGATCCCTTCGTTATACACTGCTGGTCTCTCAAATATTTTCATGTATCTCTGTGTTTTTTTAATGTAACAGAACCTGTTTTAGATTCATTTTCATTTTCATGTATTAATAGTTCATTCTATTTTATTACTGAACTTTGTTCCATTACAATGAATACCATGAATGTTTTTTTCACTCATAAGGAGACGGAAAATTTTGGTTGTTTCTAGTTTTGTTTTTTAAATATAATCAATATGAACATTTGTGTAAAAATGTTGAGGTGGAATATATTTCCTTTTCTATTGAGTAAATACCTAAGACTGAGATTATTGCATAATTTTTAACTTTATGCTAAACTGATAGAATCATTTTTTTCTTTTATAACTTGTGCTTTATTTCATACATTAAAAAGGGTATTTCCTGGCACAGAATTACACAATTTATGCTTCTTTTTTAAATTTTAATAATCCTAGCTCCTGCAATTAAGTTGTTGATTTATTTCAAGTTAATCATTGGTGATATCAAATAATGTTTATGAAACATGTTCCTTTGTTTTCTTCTCATTTTCTTGAGACAAGATTTCTCTATGTTTCCCAGGCTGGCTCCAAATTCCTGGGTTCAAGCAATCTTAATTCCTTAGCCTTCATAACAGCAGGGGCTATGAGCACATGCCACCATGCCCAACCTATCTGTTTCTCTATGAAAAGTGCCCAGTTCTTCTAATACAATTTTTTGAAGACATATCTGTCTTTATATCCTCAGGAAACATTTGTATCTTCAGGAACCACCACATGACCTGGTACACCCCTCCTCGGCATTTTTTTCTAAAGACTTAAAGTCAGCATACTAAAGTGATACATGCACCATTTATGTAGCAGCATAATCCCACAATAGTCAACATAAGATCCAGCTTGAATATCTATCAACAGATGAATCAATAAAGAATATGTGATCCATATGCACAGTAGAGTTTTATTTACCCATAAAAATGTAATTATGTCATTTTCAGGAAAACACATAGAAGCTGAGAGCATTATGTTAAGCAAAATATGAAACTCAGAAAGTCAAGGGACATGGTCTCCTGCTATCTGTAGAAGTTAGAAAAAATAAATAGGAACAAAAATCTATAGGAGATCTCATTACAATTGGTAAAAATCAGTGGAGAAGACAAAAGGAACCAAGGGGGAGTTTAGAGGGGAGGAAAAGGAGAAGTACTAGGGAAGGATACTGACCAAATTATACTGTTAAATCATGTGCAAGTCTAAACGTAAAATAAAAAATCCCACTATATGTGTAATTGTAATGTACCAAAAAATGGGGAAAAATAAACATCCTCACATACTCATTAAAACAAAAATGGAATACTTAAAAAACTTTAGCCTTAATTGATGATCTTCACCAAATTGTTGAAAATGATGCTTACTTTAAATTTAGCATTGCTTTTGCATTTGGGGGTGGAAACCTAGGATTTATGTGAAAAAAGGACACCCCCACATTTCTAAGGAGAACCAAACATTGTGACCATGTCAAACATTCAGTTGTTTTTTGCCATACTTTTTATTATCTCAGAATTATCTTAGAAACAACATCCTGGATATTTCAAGAGCCAAAAGTGACCTATTTTAAAGCAGAATCTTACACAATATGTGTGAAAACTAAAGTGATAAAATAGAGTATTGAGTAGGAGCAGACAACAGCATCCAAGTTTGATGATAAGGAGAACAAAAGGTTTGGTGCTCAAGTACTCCCTACTTCAAATGCCATTGGGGACAATTTAGCAAAGTCATAGGCACTGTCCTTAAACTCATGCATTTTATTACTTGATGCCAACTAGAAATATCAGTGGTCTTCTTTGGACAAGGGTTTCTTATCATAACATTTGGATTAATTAAAGTCTAACATTTCCTCTAGCTCAACGACTTCTTTAAAACTTGGTTTATCCGTGTCTGTTTATTGCAGGGCACAACCATAATAACATCACTGACATCTGTGCTGCATGACAACAAAGAATTCCCCAACCCAGAGAAGTTTGACCCTGGCCATTTCCTGGATGAGAGAGGCAAATTCAAGAAGAGTGACTACTTCATACCTTTCTCAACAGGTAATAGAAATGTATTTGCACTGGTGCTTCAAGGGGAAAAAACACTTTCATGGGATCAGTTAAACTCATGCAATGCTTATTTTGAGGGCTGGGAGAAATGTTCTTTGATCAGGAATACAACTCCTAGTGCCATGCACTGTGCAAGATCAAGCTACAACATCATTACTGGGTTGGACTACTGGGGCTTTGGGAAAATTGACTAGATCTTCCAAAGTAAGAAAGCTACAATGAGGGTAGATTGAATCATGCCTCAAAATACAACACTGCACTCCAAGGACTCTTCTTAGAAGATTAAATTCATCTCCACTATCCTCATTTGCCCTGTAAAAAGTACCTAACTCCACAACTTTGGTGAGTATATTTCATGTGGTGCCTATCATTTTTCCCCTGAGCTCTGGGTATGATAAGTATCCACAGCATGCCATGGGCCACCAAAAGGGTCCCACACTCCAGTTAGCCAAGCATATGAATAAATATATTATTGTAATACAATATGACTAATCTTGTGGGAGAGAGCAAAAAAGGATTGGTTGTTCATGATGGCAGAGGGAGAAAATGCCTCTTTCCTGTTTACTCATAGCACACAGTGAGGCATAAAATAGATTGAGTGACATTCAAATAAAAGAAAGGACATTAGAGCTGCCTTGTAAGAGGCAAAGAAAATAGACTGAAGAGAGACACAGCATTTTCAGGGAGACAATGAATCATAGTACTAGGATATTTGCTCTTGAAGAAGGATGCCAGAATTTTGTGACTGGTAAATGAGGGTCAGCAAACCTTGGGATTATTATTCTATAATCTATGTCAATTTTCCCAAAGCCCCTAGTCCAATCCAGTAATGATGTTGTAGCCTGATTTTACACAGTGCATGAACACTGCGAGTTTCATTCCTGATCATGTGCAGATTATTCTTTAAGCACATCAGAGCCACTTGATCTCCCTGCATCTAGTTCCTCCTTTGGATATGGTGCCTTTCACACCTTATGAGTGTACTACTGAGTTTCTGGCATATCATTGCCTAAATTCATTCTTTGGCTCTTCATCTTGCTTTTAGGTCTGGCAGTGTAGATATGAATATGACAAAGATTGAGCCCTGCCTTAATGGAACTCTTATTTCAGAATGCTAGAAAAATAGAAAGTAATGATTCAAATAATCTAGGCTTCATTGCTGAGTAAAGCCAAAGAAGATGAGAATCTACAACCTGGAGGAATCACAAAAAGTGCAAAAGAAAAAGAGCAGTTGATCTAGGATCTGAGAGATGTATGAAGTGCATCCTAGTCAAAAAGGAACAGCATGAGATATAGCATGAAATTGCATTGTATGTTTAAGGCTGATAAGAATATTCAGATGAGATGAAAGGGAGGAAAGACCATGGAACATCAGAGTGAAACAGGGAACATAATCAGCTTGTGTTTCTGGGAAAAGATTGATAGAAGCACGAACTGTCAAAAGTGCAGTTTTAATGTCCACATGGTTAATAAAGTTCTTGCCATAGAGCTGATGCTCAATAAATATTGACTGAATGAAGAGTGATGATAAATTATTTGGTGGATAACAGATGTGTTCATTCTTCTGTCTAATCAGCCATTCTTTATACTTAGTCTTTTTAATTTTTTATTTGTAAATGGACACAATAACTTTATTTTATTAATATATTTTGTGTGGTGCTGAGGATCAAACTGTGCTTCACATGTGCTAGGCAAATGCTCAACCACTCCACTACAGTCCCAGCCCCATATTTACTCTTTTTCCATCCATCCATCCATCCATCCATCCATCCAATAATGACTCTGAATTTTTCTTGTGCCAGTCAAAAATATACTGTTCAAGGTGTATTAACCCTTTCTATCTTGGTTATTTTCAGGAAAACGGATTTGTGCAGGAGAAGGTCTGGCCCGCATGGAACTGTTTTTAATCCTGACCACCATTTTACAGAACTTTCACCTGAAATCTGTGGTTGACCCAAAAGATATTGATACCACCCCAGTTTTCAATGGATTTGTCTCTGTTCCACCTGCATACCAAATCTGCTTCATTCCTGTCTGATGAAGAACAATCTGGCTGCTGCTCTGCTCTCATCTGGAATCTTCTCTTTGGGGCATGCTCCATCTCCTTCTCTGTCAGGCAGGTCTTCTCTGACCTGCTTCTCACCATTCTATTTCTTTGAAATCCAGTGACTATCCAACACCCGTTGGAGAGAGTTTCCTCAGTTGTCACAAGGGCATGCTTCCTATTCACTTACTTATTGTAAGACTTAAATGAGCCGCTCTGTATTTTAATAATCTTGTGTATTATTACTGTGATATATCACTATTAAACCAAGGGAAACCTTTGGGAAATTATGTAAAGTAAAATAAGTCAGGCATAGGAAGATAAAGGCACATGGTTTCACTTTTGTGTGTAATATAAAGAAGTCAAACTCTTAGAGTAGTGATAAGTAATGGTTACCACAACTTGGGAAGGGGTGACAGTGTGAATGGATGTGTAAGGAGGAGAAGTTAGTTAAAGGTGCAATGTTTTAGGCAGAGAGGAGGAATGAGTTCTAATGATCTAGTGCAGAACATGGTGACTATGTTCACAATAACGTTGCATACTTCAAAATTCCTAAAGGGGAGATATTAAATATTCTGCCCACAAATAAAGGACAAGTAGTTGAGATGATGATCATGTTAATAATCCTGATTTAATTATGCCACCAGGTATGCATGTATCACAGTTTCACAATATACCTCGATAGTGCAAGTGATCAGTACTTGTCAACAAAAAAAATATTGAACTAGATTAAAAATTAAAAGTGCAATCAAAAACTACATTGTATCAATTTTTAACACTCTTGATTGGCAAAAGAAAATATATTAATCAGGTATTGACAGAAGGAACAAGAGGTAGCCTTATATCTGATAATTATTAATGATGCTACTCTTAGTATCTTACCAAAATTTATAATTTTCCCTTCACCACCACCTTCCCCATCATTCAACTTCTATTTCCCCTACCCTGCTTTTTCCATTTGCTCTTTTTTTAAATTACTCTTTTTCATAAACATATGAGATAAATAGTATTTGTGTTAGGCACCATTACTGCCTTAATAAATTACCACAAATATAATGAGTGAGAAACATGGATTAACTATCTTATAGTTCTGAGGTTCAAAGATCCAATGCCATCTCCTCTGGGCTAAGATGATTCTGTCAGCTGAGATGGTTCCCTTTGAAGGTGCTAGGGGAGATCCATTAACCTATTTGTTTTCCTCCTGTACATTCTGCCAGCATCCCTTGGCTTCTGAGTCCTTTGTCACATCAATTGAACATCAGTCATCATATCTGCTCTCTCCTTATATCCTCTCATTTTTGTTTTATACAAACCTTGTTGAACCTAGGTGTGGTGGTACACTCCTGTGATCCTATTGGCTTGGGAGTCTGATGGGGAATGATTGCAAGTTCACAGCCAGCCTCAGAAATTTAGAGAGTACCCAAGCATCTTAGAGACATCCTGTATCAGATAATACATAAAAAGTGCTAGGGATGTGGTTCAGTGGTTAAGCACATTTGAGTTAAATCTCTGGTAACTAACCCCCTGCAACAAACAAAAACCTTGATGATTGCATTAGACACACCTACATAATACAGTAGAATCTATCCATGTCATGATCCTTGACATAATCATACCTACAATGTCCCTTTTATCATGTAAAGTAAGAAATTCATTGGTTCACAGGTTTCAAGGATTAAGATGTAGATGTTTTGTGAGGTTATAATAAAGCCTAAGATATCATATTATATCCTACAACTATGAAGATAATTCAGACAAGGCTTTCTTAAGTATCTTGTTCTGGTTCACACATCAGAACAAGGAGGTGAATCCCAGGACTATCTGGCTTTAAAATAAAGTTTTCTAATCAGTTGATTTTAATTCTTATTGGACTCAGCATCTTTTAGTTTTGTTGTCTTTATTGGCAGGTAATTGATATACAGTTAATATTTGTTAATATTTAATGGAAAGGTACTTTAAAAATAAAAAGTGCAGGGGCTGGGGATGTGGCTCAAGCGGTAATGTGTTCACCTGGCATGCGCAGGGCGCTGAGCTCGATCCTCAGCACCACATTAAAAAATAAAAATAAAAAAATAACGATGTTGTATCTGCCAAAAACTAAAAAAAATAAATATTAAAATATTCTCTCTCTCTCTCTCAAAAATAAAAATAAATAAAAAGTGCAAAGAAATTTTCATATTTCAAAGAAAAAAAAACAAAACCCAATTTCACACCAAGGATCAAGATTCAGGAAAGATTGCAATTTCTCAAAAACATCACAGTATACTAGAATTTTTTAGAGATAGGCCTTAGTGATTTTTTTAAGGTATTGGAGATTGTTGGGATTACAGGCATGCAGCACTACACCCAGCTGTCTTGAGGATTCTAAGAGAAACTATTTAAAATATAGACAACCTAAGTTCAGCCAATTTTCAACTAATTAATAAAGATATATCAGTAAATTGAATTTCTGTATTAGGGGTCTTCAGAGAAAGAGAGAGAATCAAATGATAGTTATAGATAGATTGATGGTAAATAGATGACAAGGAGTTTATTACAGGAATTGGTTCATATGGTTGTGGGTACTGAATAGTACCATGATAGGTGATATACAGCCTGGAGAACAAGTCTAAGGGCATGAGAATTGGCAGAGTAATGCTCTTGAAAACACCCCAAAATTATGCTATTGAATATCACTTAATCTAGTCAAGTGGATATCTAAAATTAACCATTGTATTTCTCATGCACTTTTTGAGAGGGGGAGGGATATTCTTCCAAATGAGAGCAAAAGAAAACAAAAGACAAGACGGATGCAAAAACAGAAGGTCCAAGAAGATGGTCAAAGGGAAAATCTCAGAGGATGTTTTAAAAGTTGGTCCTAAGAGAAGAAATGGGCTCAGGGGTTCCAGAACAATAAGAGAAAAAGTAAAAAATAAAAGAGAGAGAGAGATGGAGTTAAAAGACTGGAAGTTGCTAACCCCTTCCTCTTTTTGTGTTGCTCACTGATCTGTCAGTTGGAGTGGCCTAAAACTGAAGCTGGTTGAGGTAGCTCTCAGCTTCCCTTCTCACCAGTACAAGGTAGGATGGAATGGGAAGTACTGTAGACTGAAGTTTTTCTGGGCAGACAAGATTGAGGCATTCCAGGGGGGAACTGCTGCAGAGTTTTATGAGGAGGAATCCAGCAGTTGGGGCTTAAGTCTAATAAGGCCTCAGGGGTTTTGTTGGGTGGTATCTGCTCTGGAGAGTTTCAACCAACACACCCTGAGGACGGGCAAATGCTGAGATCTACTGGGAGTCTGGATGTCAGGGGGCTCCCAATAATTCTACTCACACAGCAGAGGAGCCAGTCCACACACTCTGCTACCCACAAACGCGAACTTGTCAGGGTTAGTCCCTGAGTGTATGCACCCTCCTGTTCAGTGTTCCATCTCTCTCCAGCTGGTCATGTGAGCTGCCGGATTCAAAGGGAAGATAAGTTAGATTTGCCTTTATTTTTCTGACTTAAATCCCCTTGGGCAAATCCTTATGAGTGTTTCACTCATGCTCTGCTAGGTACACTCTAGCCCACACATAGGCACTTGTGGTAGTTGTATGGCAATGTTTGCCATGATCATCCAGGCTCCTGCAGCAGGGTGCTGCAGTATGGCCTCTTCAGGGCGACTCCCAGCCTCAGCTTTCCATGGCCAGTTAAGAAATACAGACAGCTTTTCAAACACCCGTTCGCTGTGTAGATTCTGGAACAACAAAGTTTAGTCAACTTTTCTGATCCCCAGGATTTTCCAAGCCAATTTGCACTGTGATTCTTTCTGTAATCCTTCTCCTTTGTGGTGATCTCTGCTGCTGCAGTATAATGTGACTCAGCTCCAAAGTACTCTTTGTAATTTGAAGTTCTATGCACCTAAACTCATAAGTCTCTAAGACACTCTTGACCAATATTGAATTTTAGTTAAATTCCTCTGTTATGATTTAGATAATAGATGTGCCCCCAGATGTGTGACACATTGCAAGAGGTTTTAGAGGTGTAAAGATTGGGTAATGAAAGTCTTAACTCAATCAGTGCATTCATACCATGATAAGGATCAACTGGGTGATAACTGTAGGCAGGTAGGGTGTGACTGGAGGAGGTGGGCCCTGAGGGTGAGGCTTTAGGGTGTATATTTTGTCCATATTCAGGAGAGTCTCAGTGTCTTTCTCTCTCTCTCTCTCTCTCTCTCTCTCTCTCTCTCTCTCTCTCTCTCTCTCTCTCTCTCTCCCTCTTTCCTGGTGTCCTTTCCTGACTTGTTTTCCTCTTCCACACTCCTACCGTAGGCCCTTAGAAATGGAGTTGGCCATTTATGGATTGAGACTTCTGAAACCATAAGCTTGCAAACAAACTTTTCTTCCTATAAAATTATTCTTGTCAGGTCTTTTGGTCACAGTAGTGGAAAAGCTGACTAAAACACCCTCATTCACACACCTTGCTGAGAAAGAGTACTCCCCGACCCCTTCCTCTGCTTGAGTCCTGAGAACAAGTGGAAATGCAGCCTTCCTCTAATCCACCATCTTGAATTTGGGCTGATTTTTATATTTATGTATTTCAATTAAAATGCAATGAAAATAAATAATTTTCCTATGTATTGAAGGCCCTAACAAGGCTTAACATTTTTAATAAAGATTAATTTAGAAATAATCACATTTTTATTATCAGTCTTCATTATACCCTGCATATCCAAACTAGAATCTCATAATTTTTCCCTTTATTTATAAAGGATGGTGATAACTCTAAGATTTTTCCTTCTGAGAACATATTGGCCTTTTTACTTTTTTATTTATAGTTTTAAAATATAAAAACAAATTATTCTCACACTATTCTAGAGTCCAGGAGTCTGAAATACACTTTACTTGGCCAAAATCCAGATGTGGGAAGTGTTGTACTCTCTCCTATGGAGAATCTATTCTTTTCCTCTCCTTTTTTTCTGGTGATTGATAGAACTCTTTGGCTTGTGGTTACATCACTCCAATTCTACCTTTATCTTCATTTACATTTTATTCTCCCATGCATGTGTCAAATAAGTTCTCTCTCTCCTTCTCTCTCTCTCTCTCTCTCTCTCTCTCTCTCTCACACACACACACACACACACACACACACATACAAACCATATATTATTTGCTGTGGTAAATATGCATAACATGTAAATTGAGTGACATGTATTTTTGCATTTTTGTGCAACTAGCACCAACAATCATCTCCAGAGATTTTTTTAACCTCCTAAACTAAAAGTCTATTCCAATTAAATAACATCTCCTATTTCATTTTTCCCTGAAAACTACCATTTTACTTTCAGTCCATGAATTTGACTACCCCAGGTAGCTCACAAAAAAATGATCTTATTGGTCAGGTTGTGTTCAAGCTTCAACCATTTGGTAAAATGTGTCATTATTACTTAAGGTTGGGAAATATTCTATTGACTGTATTGGCCACATTTTGTGTATCCATTCCTCCATTGATGCATATTTTGGAGTTTTCTTATCTTCAGTTATTTTGTGTAAACATGGATGCACAAATATCTATCTATTCCAGTGCATGCTTTCAATTGTTTTAGGTAAATACCCTTAAATGGAGTTCTAGATCATATGGTAAGTTCTGCTTAATTTTTTATTTTTTGATCCACGGTATACAGAGACCTGAAGTTGGACCAAGGTGAAAACTTAGGACCTTTTTAGATCTATCCTGAAAATTCATGGTGTTCTAATGCCCCAGGAGTATGTCAGACATACTTGATGTCATTTATGAACAGCTCTGTTACGGTTTGTATGTGAGGTGTCCCCCAATAGCTCATGTGTGGGTCAATGCAAGTAGGTTTAAAGGAAAAAAATGTTTAAGTTATAATAGTTGTAACTAGTGAATTAATCACTTGTTTGATTAACTTAGTTGTAACTGAAGGCAGGTAGCTATGGCTGGAGGAGATAGGGCATTGGGGTTTGCCTTTGGGGTATATATTTGCATCTGGCAAGTGGAGATTTCTCTTTGCTTCCTGATAATCATGTGAGCTGCTTCCCTCCACTGTACTCTTCTGCCATGATGTTCAACTTTTCATTGAGACTCAAGGAATGGACTGGTTGTCTATTGATTGATACCTCTGAAATAATGAGCCTTCAAATAAAATTTTCCACCTCTAACTTTACTCTTGTCAGTTCTTTGAGTCACAGAAGTGAAAATGCTGACTAAAACAAGTTCATTCATCATCTTTTTCTTTTAAGCTTCTTAGTTAACCTATTAATTTCTTCAACTGTTATTCATGATTTCAGTCATCCACAATGCTCAAAAATTGCCTCTAACTGTCTTCCACATATGGCTTTGGTACTAGGAAAGCTCAAAGTCCTGGCAATATACAAATAGCTCTACATGTGTGATCTTCCAGAGATCCACAAGATGAGTCAAAGTACGACAAGGTTCTGGAACAGAGCTTTGAGGGAGCTCCAACTCCATGCTGCTGCCTCCAGTGTCAGACCTCTGCTTTCACCGTGGGCTGTCTCTTTCCAGTGCTCCACTTCAATGCTGTGGAGATGTAGGGAGGGAACAAGACAACAAGAGAACAAGATAATATCACTATTCTCACTAAGATATATGCACTTTTGTTAAATAAACACTTGAAATATTTCTGAAAACGTTGGCTAATTTCCAGAAGTCCGAAAAAAAGTTCAATTCATTGTGCTCTCATTGTTTCATGTTGAACGGAATTTTCAAGAGTCTTTATCATTTTTTTACTGACATCCTCCAGTATACTATTAAATAGAAGTAATAGAGTGGATAACCTTATTTATCTCAATTTTATGGGGAAAGAGTTCAATATTTCACCGTTAATAAAAATATATTTTGTAAGACTGTGAAATTATCCTCTTTTAGAATATGGAGATCCCTCTTTTTCTTAGTTTATTGAAAGTATTTAATATAACTAGGTTTTGAATATTACCTAAAGGTTGTTTTTGACATTTATTGAGGTGGTCACATGTTTGTCAGATGTTCTTCAATTATTGCTACACATTGTACTTTAAATTAGTGTAATGATA